CGTGATTTGTGTTCAACAGGTTGTGTTTTTAAAACTTTAAAATAACCGAAACGACATTTTGATATATTTTACTTCTTCTATTCATTAAATATTATTATTTCCTCTAATAGCAATGGAGGCACAGAATATAAATAGTTTTGCTATATCATTTAGAAACAACAAAGTAAGTATTTCTTTGTGATAGTATTTATTTATTTACCATAATAAACAAATAACATTAAGATAGAAACTCTCCAATGTTAATGTAATTTATGTAACATTAAATAACTAAATAGTTTATAATGAATTAGTTGTAAATCTAAATGGATGTTTCTTTTTCTCTAATAGTTGTTTGCCTTGATATTTGTCCTAATAATTAATTCGTACCATCTCATTTTTATTCATAAATACTGTTAAAATATGAAAGAAATACGATTTCCGCTAATTTCTTAATTTAAACTAGTATTGATGTTATTTTCATGATAAATTCATCTCAATTGTTATTTGGAGCCACACCTCTGAAAACTTAATTTTGAACAGTTTGTATCTATAAATATGATAAATTACAAATTTATATGATACATATTGTTTAAACATTTTTAAATGTAACAAGGTAAAACATGCATGATGTGTGTATGTTGTTTTGTTTCTAGTTAATATTGTAACCCAATTTGTTCTCTACATAAAATTTCTATGGTCCTATTCGTTGGCCCTAGTGGCCCTTTCCACCCAATTTGTTTAGCACATTTGATCTATGGCATTCATTGGCTTATAAATAGAAGGTTGGATCATACTTAAATCCGGAAAGCATAGATGACATTCATAATTAAGACTTCAGCTTATAGACCCAACAAGTGGTTTGATATGGTTCGGTATCTCTTACTTTTGCATTGGTAAGGTAAGAGCTGCTAGAATATAATTGTGAAACGCCACAATAAATTTCATATCAAATCTAAATACAAAATTAGAATGGCCATCTTCTGTTTCGGAAGCCTTGTGCACAATATTTTTGTCAAATCAAAATCATTATATCAGATACAGCCAAAATGCCAGCCACATTGCTGGCTCTTCTTGAAAATCCACATAAAATGTTGGCTTATTGAACTAAATTTCTCAGTCTGTTGAATCTATAATTTCTTGCAGAGTTGGTTTCACGATGTATTACGCAGTTACTCATGGCGATTTTCATGCGAAATATTTCTCAATCATTAGACCACTATCAGTAGCCTATAATGGGTCCTATAGGCACCCCAAGCTAACAAACTATTTCTAGTTAGAAATTGTAAACCTCTTTTATGTGTTTCTATATATTATATTTTTGTTAATATGACTACTCCAGTTGGGTTCCAGTGTTTCAACTCTCTTGCGGTCTAGAACCTGATTTCCAATCATTGAAGTAATGTATATGTCCTTAGTCTTTTCTGGTTAGTAATAATAATAATTATCCGGTTTTTATAGGGATTTAAGGACAGTTAAGTCGCACGTCGTGTTCAAGATTACTATTATTTTAGAACCTCGGCTTCAGCAACGCAATCTGACCTATAGAATTTTCTAAACTGTAATTTATCTAAGTATATGTATGATAGAACGCTCCCTTGAAGTCATCTTCTTAGCACTATTCCCATAAATATTATTGGACCATGGTGTTAAAGGGCCCTCACCGAATTTTTCTAGCACGTATAAGTTTGAAGAATGTTTTCATTTTGTGAAACTATTTTGTGAAGCTTATTAGTTAATTCGCCCGAAGTCTGAAAATAGCGCTGAAACCGTTAATTAACTAGATATACTGGTTGCTTTACAAAAGTTTGTTTAAGAGCGCCATTTCATCCCGTCTCGTGTTATTAACCTTTGATATAAAATTAATTAAGATAAATATTGCAAAATATCTCGTTTCATTACAATCATTATTCAAAATGTTATTTTTATTCAACAAGCAAAAGCTTTACCTGTTACTGCCCACATTTTCTACGTTCTAAGCCTTGCCTTGTTCAAAATTTTTCAAAATCTAATTAGCTATTTCATTGAATACTTAATAATACAAAAAAATTTGTAATCCACGCTGAAATCTTATCTGTAATGAGAACGTACCTAATCCAATACTAATCTTAATGACCTTTGTTATTTCCAAAACGAGCATTTCATGACAACATTCCAATAAAAGTACTGCATCGTATTATTACTCTCAACATGACAAAATATATCATGAATTTTCAAAAAAATATGTAATAAAAGGATTGTCAATTATGGTATTAAGAGTCTCAATGATGAGATCTAAGACTTTCGCGACTATTAATTTAAATGCAACTAGTAATCGGATTACTACGCGTAGTTTATTATTTTAAAACTCTGTACTCCCGACGTTTCGGTTACTTTTCACTGTGATCACGGTTTCTGAAAAGTAACCAAAACGTCGACAATATATTTTTTTAAATAATCAAATACTCGTAGAAATGCGAATAATATTTGTCATTAAAACAGTCTCAATTCTTGTTTACGAATTGCCTACAAGGTTAAAGCAATTATTGACATACATTCTCATAACTCTGATTCTATCAGTTATATTGCATTATAACTCTGATAAAGTGACCCGCAATAAAGAATGAAGATAACATAAAACGACAACACATGGAATGAAATGGCATAGACAGTAAAATATTATGTTGGACTAAAAAGACAATTGCAATAACCCTGTTGTGTACAATACATTATATTTGCTAACTTTGCATGAATATTAAATTCTAGAGGTATCAATTTTTGTACAATTTCTCCTTGATGCTCCGTGATGCTCCTTGATGTCCGACTAAGTACCTACACAAATATATTTTCACGACTATATATTTGGGCTAGTTTTAAACATTCTTTTATTCTACTATAATTATTAGTGAATAGAAAATCGCATTTAATTATTCTTTATCTCTAATAAAAAAAGCATTAATTTCATTTTTAATGTGGTACTTCTTCCATTTATTACTTTGGATCTTTGTACTTCAATACCACTACGATGTCTTGGAACACGTAGATATTATCATATTATGTAAATAAAGAGACTTCTGTATACAATTATAACTATAACTAAAATAATGTGAAGGATAGCTGAAAATAAAAAACTAAAAATAAGTAATGTTTACAAATATATATTTTTTCGTGTTTTGTATGAAAATTATTTTTCGTCATTCATTTCTTTTTTTTCTGTTTGGCTCTTATTACAACAATTACATACAATTGAAATCTCGAAATATCTAATTCATACAATTATTTCCTACACATTTTGCCTTAAATTAATTTATCTTTTATACTTCTTTGAAATATTTGCAACTTTCATGCATTTGTATAAAAAACTATATTCAGTAATTAATGTTACAACATCCTACTTTCTCATTATAAGAAAACCGCAAACGATCCACGAAATACGAAAATTACTTTTTAAATAAGACCACGTCAACTTTAGTAACCGAGGAAAGTTTTAAAGTAAACTAGCGCAGTATTGAAATTAATTAATTCTAATATTCATTATAGGTTCTATATATTTGTTGTACTACAAATATATAGAATCTATAGTCAATATGTACCCAGAGTATATACACTGTAAATAGAATGATAGTAAATATGTATCCAGTGTATACACACTATGGTGGCAAATATGGCCCTAGATGGTTAAAAGAATCATCTCGCTTAATGCCTGCCTCGCCCTGAAAGCATCCAAATTTGTGCCAAGAAACATAATTAACCTCACTCGTTATTTAAGGTCAAACTTTTTTTACTTCATTCGTATCCATTTACACAGAACACGCAACAAATCTAATGAAAGAACGACCTTGTATCTTATAGAATTTTCTTTGATACAAAACAAACATTGTTCGTGATTATGTAAGTTCTAGTACGATGTTCATATTATACCACGAAGGAGTACTCGTTCATTATGCTAATCCACGTCAGTGTTTATAAACAAACTGACAACCAACCCCGACCCTTACATCTCAATGGCTCTCTGACGTACCTTGAGAATAATTGTATTATACATTTTTTTCTATATACATATTATTAGAGTACCTTTGTCATCAGTTAACGTTTCTTTCAATACACACTTCACTGAGATAACACTCGTCCAATGGAATCACAATATCGTCGTAAATTCTCTGTAAGTAAAGCATATATTTTATATCATACATATTAACTTCTTTATATAAATTTATAGCATAATATAACGAGAAAAATAATATTATAGTTATTATGATCCTGTTTGTTTCCGTGTAGCGACTCAATGATAAATAATTGATTTATTTTAACCTGTTATAAAGTAAAAGTTTATCGATAAATTTATTATTCAAGATATGATGTGAGTTTTGCCTGTGGGTGCTTCGTAAAACAATATGCTTATATGACGGGTTGTTATATTTTACGGTCGGGATTAATTAAAATTGTATATTTTTGTAACAAATATTTATTTTGAACAAACGACTTTTTTTCGATAATTTATTCATTTATTCAAAGTCAGGTAGTAAATATGCCTTATATTATTTTTTTATATTGTTGCCTATAAATTATTATATACTGCTATAATATAGCAAATAAAATATACCTGTTAAACTTAAATATTCTTTGAGCAAAAATTAATAAATTTTACTCTTAAACAACACTCACTATCTATAGCTACGTTTATTTTTCAAACAAGGATACAATATTATCGTGTATTTTTTTAGATTTATAATAAAGTTTCGAGACTTTTTATAGATATGTTTAATTTTTTTTTTGATTTTGACGTTATATCAAAATACAAGTTTTTTGTCGTTCACATGTTAATTATTATTATCTAAAAATAGTAATGACAACACCATCAATAGAAATAAGATTATTTTTCAAAGTTTTCAACTCAAAAATTTCATTAAATTTATAACTCGTTTCATTTTATCACATCACTTACATCACAGAAAACAACAATCTTTCAAATTGATTTGAAAATAAAACCGCTATTATTTTTAAATTACATACAAAAATAATATACGTATTCAATCAAAGCGTCATTGATTCAAACATTGATTACAATAAGTGAAAATTTGTTACAGCTAAGCTATTGCGGTCAGGATTGTCAAAGGATACCGCCTTCATTATGGAACATGTATGGGGCAAAAGTAAATTACCTAGATTTAAGGTAATAATATAAGAATTTACAAGATTATTCTCACAAAACACATCTTATTAAGATTAAGTAAATTTGATTCGAGCGTATCATTTATCAACGCACCTTAACAATGCTTTAAGAATGTTTATCAAATGTCTCTCAGTGAAAGACTTGACAGCTAATTTATGGTACTAATGCTCTGTTCTCTCTAGGAATGTAACAATTTTGTTATACAGCACATTAACCGTTATAACATTAGTATAATGGAGTTATTATTGCAATCATGTTAACCAAAAATATATATTAATTCCAAATTAATCGAATTAATATCAATCCGTCAACCGATTATTTTTAATTATTCTGACAACTGAATCGTAAAATTATATTTTGCATATTGAAAGTTAAATAATAATCATTCATTTGTTGCAAATAACCTATATTACGTTATGTTCAAATTTCATTTAAGTAAGAACATTCTGAGCTACTTACTATTAGTGGATGACAAATAACAATAGCCAATTAAGAGAAGCGGTACAAAGGATATGTTGTATGTAATGTTATTAATAACATACATACATCTTACGAATGGACTTATTACGTATTTAAATCTATTTGCAAGAATGTTGCCCGAGGAATTGTGGAGACTGCGAATAGTGTTACTTGAGTAATTTATTGACTCCCCGGATTTTACTAAGGATTTATGCGTATCCCTTATTTAGGTGTGACGGCTGCTTTGAATGTTTATTTGTTATACAAAATTTTCAGTTACAATAGTATAGAGACGCTTAAAGGTTTGGAAAACTTCAAGAAACTAGAAGAACTTATATTAGATAACAACAGATTAGGCGATTCAGTCGCCTTTCCGTATATGCCACATTTGAAGACGCTATCATTAAATAATAATCAGGTAAATAAATATGAACAGTAAATAAATATGAACAGCAAAAAAATAAATATAACTTGTACGTTTAATATCCTATCAGTAACAATTACTATATAAAGTACACTTTCAGATAACAGACTTGGATGGTTTAATAAATAAGATATGCGAAAACTTCCCCTCGCTGTCATACTTGAGTCTGCTAAGTAATAAGGCATGCCCCAACCAACTGTCTGATCAAGAGAAAGATGACACAGATTATCAGAGATACAGGTAATGTGACTTGCAGAAAAATATTTTACTCCTGTGTGTGTTGTATAATAATGTGCGATGATTTATGAATGAAAAACTGTCAACTATCCGTATGTGGCGTAAAGATAAGAATAAAGAATGAGCGTACTAGTGTTGTAGGTGATAGGCTTCGGTGAACGCTTAACATAAGGCTGTTGTGCAACTTTTTGCCATTGAATAATATATTAAAAAAATCTTTCATCAAAAATTTTGTTAATATTTTTCTCACTGTGCACAATCGATATGAAAATTTAAGAAAAACAGTATACTGACCATGAAATAGATTTTAATAATGGGCACAAATAACAGAAATTTTATATTTTTTAATTAAACATTAAGATTCAATTTAAAAAATAAAATCTGAAGGGTTAGCTTTATATGTGGTTTTGGTATAACAACTGGGGTGCTTAAACACCGTCTCGCATCTAAAATATGGCTTCCATGATACATTTTTTACTGTTTTATGAAAATCCATAATCAATTAATGCAGCTGAAATAGTCGTAACTGAACGAAGCATGTCTAGTTTCAAACTATAACCAAATCACTAGCCAATAAAGAACTCGTCTAGAAAAGAAAATATCTAAAAATTGAGGTTCATTTATGTAAAATACAAATTAAACTGACCACAACAGGTACTTCGTTCTATACAAGATCCAGAACCTACGTTTCCTAGACTCGCGTCGTGTTTCGTCTTCTGAGCGTCGCGAGGCCGCAAGGAAAGGGGACTTCGCGAGAGTTCGACGACCTCCTCCTCCCCCCAAAACTTCACCCCCCACACCACAACACACTCTGGCGAGACCCCTGCCTTTAGACCTCAACGCCCTCGGTAAACATAAAGGTAAATAAATACCTAACTTGTTAACCTAACCATACATTTTAGATACCGCTAGAATACCTAGCCTTGGATGTCATTTACCTAACGAAGCAAGTCTATTTTAATCAAACAGTATATGTTTCTAAGCAAATATGACATTCGTACTTTTGAAGCCAACTTTCATAGTTATATATAAAATTTATCACGGACTATCTTTATCAGTTTAGTTCCTTATAAACTGGCAATACTGCCTCTTTAATATAATGACATGAAATTGTTTTTCAATGTAAAGGTAATAGCATAAACTTTTAGCTATTGTTGCCTGGAATCAATATTATTTATTTAAAACTAGTTTTTGCCCGCGACTTCGTCCGCGTTAATTTCATCATTAGTAATATATGTATAGCTGACCGGGCGAACTATATTTCGTCCTAGAGGGGGTAAATAATCAGGTTTTTCCCGTTTCAATCGAACAGAATGATTGACATATTAGTTAGTTGTCAAATCTAATGTCAAAGAAAACATTTGTATGGGAAATAGAAAAGGGCTGTTTTTAGGGTTTTCCCGGAAATGAATCAATTTTTCTCACCTTTTATACCTTCCCTGAACCTCCACGAACATTTCAAGTCTAAGATAAGATAAATCCGTTCAGCCGTCCTCGAGTTTTAGCGAGACTAAGGAACAGCAATCCATTTTTATATATATAGAAGATATAATATGCTTTTCATTCCCCATTTCAAAAGAATTACGTTGATCGCAATATAAGCTTCATTTAAATGAAATTTGTATAAAACAAACGATTTCACAGTAACCTGGGTATTGAATAGATATGTAAACGAGAAATAATCATAATTCATAATAATTTATAATATGTTATTTTTTTTAATGGGATTGTAACTATTTAATTAAAAACCATATTGGTCGGTTACACAATATCTGTCATATTGAAACATTTTGAAAGTAAGCAATAACCAAAATATATATGTATATGAAAATCATTATATAATAAACTGAAGTATAATAATCACATAACAATATATTGTTCAATTATAATTTGAAGTGTTTTTATCACACTAAATCATTTCATATAATAATATAAATTAATATACATATGTACATAATATTAGCTTTTTACATGGAATTTTTTAATTTAATTAAAACAAGTTTTATACACGTAGTGTATCTATCCATTATACACGAAAAAAAAAGTTATGACATTTATTAGAAGTTAATTTCAATATTATTAAATTTTTTTTTCATAAAATTTATGTACAATTTGATCCTTAGTATCAAATGAACAAAACCAAACGTATATTTTGATTATGAAAAGACAAACACGCGTTTATATAGACTGGATAGTGAAAACAAATGTTTGTTCAACAATGATAAGTGGGGCATGTAATTGTTGATTAATAATCAAAGTTTCGTGCCAAAAACATATAACTATATAATACTCACATAAATTGTTGCTAAGATATCTAATATGATTAAAGCATAGACTAAAACCCTAGAATTCAAGAGTTGGACGGGTAATTCATCCCTACTTATATTATAATTGCGAAAGTAACTCTGTTTGTCTGTCTGTTACGCTTTCACGCCTAAACCACTGAACTTATTGTAATGAAATTTGGTACAGAGATGGAGTTTTTATCCCAGACTTTTGAAAGGTTCTCTTGGAAACGCGATATAACCGAACTCCACGCGGGCGAAGCTGCGGGCGGAAAGCTAGTTGAATATAACATTGTATAACACAGAAAACAGAAAAAATATACATCTATAATAATAATTAGATAATAAAAGATCAAATGAAAAAAAAAGTGACTCATTAGTAAATTATTTTATAAAAAAAAATTAAAACTAGAAAACATAATAAGAATATATAACTCGCATTATGACGTCATGTTTGTCCTTGACATTTTCACTTTTTAATATAAGAAAGAATTCCTCACCGCAGTAATTCAATACACAAAGACCATATTATAAAAGATAATGTTTTATATATAATTTAATATATTGTTTCAGGTGCTTACGGTAAATGTCTTTACAAATACACGGGAAAGCATTCCGAGGGTAACCGGTTCATTGTCAATAGCGATCTGTGAAAACCTATCATAGTATTCTACGTGCCATATTATTCGAATAGTTATTTTATCAGTCATCACAGGGTTTTTCATATTAAATGTACGTTAATATTTCTAAAAACCAATCATAGGCTACTTTAAAGTTGAATGAGAAAATTAAAAAGTAGTTTTAGGCAAATCAAATGTATATAAATATCACTTTGTTCTAAGAAGCGATGTTTTCAGGCGGTTGTGTTAAAACGATTCGATCATGAATCAAATATTATTCATAATCTTTTGAACATTCCAATATTGAATTCCTAATATGTTAGTAGAGATTTTAAAGTAAGTGCCATTTAAATTACTATATAACTACACAATAAATAATGTAACTTAATAAAGGCATCATAAGGAATTGTAATAGGACTTCTACATCTATAGATGAAGCATCTAAATCTCTTTCACTTATAAATTTCTTGAAACATATAATCAATTTAATATTTTACATAGACTTTATAAGAGATCTAAAATCCAGGGTCTTTGTATATATTATTTTTTGTTTAAAATGTATGAAATATTTAATGGAGCTTTATTCAATACAATCAAGAAAATGATATAATGTATCAAACTTTATTTTTGATTTTAGTATTCCACTGGCTGGCTATTGTAAACCATAGTTTTATTTGGTATTTTATAGTTTTATCTATTTTTTACTTTTATATAATTGTATTCATTTATATTTGTGCAATACTAATTGATTAAATAAACCACCTTTTAACTGCCATTTATTTCTTATTATGAAATACAAACATTATAAAAACATAGACTTTTTTAAAGAAATAGCTTAATTAATGGAACATAATTGACTTATATGTCAGTCAAGTTAAGAAAAAAAATGGGTACAGAAAATTAAAACAAAATTATATTTGAATATTTATTTATTTTCATAATATGCATGATTCATTAAAAAACAAAAAATGTATGCAGATGGGACTTAATAAAGAAATAAATTAAGTACGGAATTGTCCCATTCATTTTATCAACCAAAAACGAAATATACTTTATATTTCCTGTATGTACATATAAGGACTACAATTATGTACAAGTTATTAAATAAAATATAAGATATTATTATATCATATTGTTTTCAAAGCATTGGTAGTATAAAAACATTGTATTTACCATAATAACCTTCAATATTTCAGGTACAACTAAACAAATTATAGGTTAATAATGACTAAGTAAAAGATCTAAATTAATAAAAATGCAATATTTAGGTAGTTTCGCAATACCATAGATTTTATTCCATTAAGTTGCCAGAAATACAAACAAAAAATCCACATTTAATATAAAAAATGTATGATATTAAATAATAAACATCAAAAATATTAAAATACCAAATACATAAATTCAATAATTATATGTAAAATATTAATAAGAAAAATATGTTATTTTCTATTGCAGTGATTATTATTACATTAATGTTATATGAACGGAAATTATTATATCAATGCAGTTAGCTCAAGCAACTATTCATAAACTTTGTACTACCTTTATAAATATTTGAATATCATATAATATAAAGCGTTCATGTCACACATAATAAAAATCTATAAATTTTCATTATGTGATATATTTGTGCACTATTAAAGCCATTGATGAAAAAAATGTATAAATTAAATTTAGTATGCATTAGGCGTTATATCACATAACCTAGGCTACAACCTCTAGATTAATACTAATACATTTCAATTTCATACCACAGAGACATCCGATATTTACAATGTTCTCTGATAGAGTTAAATAAAAGAAACATACTGTATATATATTGTAGTATAAGTCTAAAATATATGTATTTCTATGTATTGAATCATGGAACAAAAATTCAAGATAGAATTATGTAAATATTGGATGGTTTGTTACAACCTCATAAGTTCATTTATATATCACTCAATATATAAAATTTTATTGTTTAATAATATACATGAAAAGAATTCCGAGATATGTTTCACAAAAAGGTACAGTGTCGTCTACTTGGACATACATTTACATAAGTACAAATATACTAACTACAATTAAAATATGGCTTCTCACATATTATGTATTCCATACGTATATAAGAAATAAGAATTATCAATATAAATTTAAAATCAATTACTATTTATAAGCGAATAATAAGAATGTCAATTATATTTACTATGAATGTATAAAAGAATTTTTTTATTAGGATTTCATATAAAACGCCATACTATGTACACATGAACGTGGAATGTATAAATCACATGATGACAAACATCCAATCACAATCTGTCATGTTCACATAATATACTTAAAAGTTATTCACAAAATAAAAATGCGCAAACAATAATGGCACTAATTTTGTAACCGTATTTCAACTTTCAACTCATTTTCATCAGTTACCAGATTAAGTACTAGTAAAGAAATCGCTTCATACTAAATTTTACTTCAGTTAAATGGTATAATAGAGTTACCTACAGATAACTAAATTACCATATATGACAAAATCGACATGGCCTAGGTACGTTGTATTATTATGACTGGAAATTGGCAACAACCAATTTATTATATAATAAACATCCACATAAAAAAATGAGAAGCGATTCCGATATTAAAGCATGTAGCCTGTGTAGGAATTAAAAATAATAACCATTGAACCTTCAAACATTTGGCCGCTTAGTTGTGTTATACAAATATAAATTGTACAAAAATTTTCACATTATGCATAGCACTTCGAAATTAAAATAAATTTATTAAAAAAAATGACATGTTCAACAACATCTTAATATTATTATTGTATTACATAGCTACTGTTGTCTAAGGCATTGCCTCGCTAACTACATAAGTACTCAAAATATCTGTCCAGGAATAAATTGTATCACATAAATATCGACAATTATAGATTATGCACTACATGTACTGACATTCAAAGTGAACTATATAAAGTAATTGAAGACGAACATTTTTCTGTACCACTATTACATCATTTCAATCGTGTCATTCAAAATTTCATACAATTCATTAAATTATATGACAATAAATTAGTTCGTTGATAATAATATAAAATATTTACGTAATAAATAATAGCAGCATTTATATAAAATGTTTTAACTAATCAACTATGAACAATGCCATGTTGTTGTAGGATTTCTAAACTATATCGCTTCGGAGCGACTTGGCGGGTTTACGCATCGACTTTGACATGTGTCATGATTGACATACAATACATTGTAACACTAAAAGTTTTAGTTGTTTATATATTAGACTTGTGTAACACAATGAGCTAGCTTCTCTATTTCCATTTGTAACGCCTGTCTTTTTTCCGTCTCCTGTTTCAACTTATTCGACAGATCCTCGATGGCAGTGTTGAATTTAGCGTTTTGTACTTCTATTAACTTTTCTAGGTTAAGTATCTGAAAAACATACAATTTGGTCAATAACGAATTAGGTGTAAAAGTTTTAAAAATATCAAAAAATTCAACTTATAGTTCAAAAATTTGTGAGGACTTTGTTGTATCTTGATATAGGTAAAATATTGATATGTAAAAAATATCAAACGTAATAACTGGACATAGAGCAGAGACTTTTTTTCCACAGATTATAAAGTACTTACCCTATTATTTAATTGAGCAATCAAAGCCTCGGAGCACTCCTTATCATTCTTAGGCCGCCTTTCTAATGTACTTGAGCGTAGAATCTCCGTCTTTTCATTTTTCTCTATGGCCGCCGTAGATTTTTCAATGATACTAAATTTACTAGCTTCATTCTTAACACTAGTCTTTTCAGTCGAAAACGTCTGAATGTCACTGAATTTATCCACAGTAGCTGACAGTTTGTTGATCTCATTATTTTTATCAGTCGACTTTTCCAAGCTGGGGAACTTGGTGGGGTCATTGACCTCTGTGACGTCACTCTTGTCCGAACCATCTAGGCTTGAGAACCTGTCAGAGTGTCTGTCTGTCTTTTCCGGTTTGGATTTTTCGTGATCGGACAGTCGGGCGGCTATAGGTGGTGCGGGGGCTGGCGGCTTGCGGACTTCTTCGAACATTGCAGATATAGTTCGGCCTTGAAATATAAACAGAAATGTATTTAATATTTTAAAGTTAAATATTCTTAATATATTATGACGCTATCCCTTTCCTGATGTATTTAGAAATGTTAAAACATATTTCTTTTTTGTGCTGGCAACACTTGAAATTAAATATAGAATCACTTCATTGTTTAAACTTCTTAAGAATGACAATAGCAATATTGAATCAATTTTCAAATATTTTTTTTTTTTCTCTTTCCTTAATCATAAGAGACAGAAATCAACAAAACAATTAATACTTAGCTACAGCAAACCAAATCGCTTTTTTGTTAATCTCGTAATATAAAAATCATGTTTGATACTTTTAACAAGTAACACTTTTATAAACGCAGATTTTATTCTTTGATATTTATAATTTTTCAATCGTATTATTCTGAGATCGATTCGTATTAATTTATTTTTCTACACAATAGTTGTAACCCTTACCAGCGGCTGTTGGAGATTGCAATGAAGGTGGACTCGTTGTTGGTAGTTCTGGTGGTAAGGATTCCTTCTTTGATTCACTCACTTGTGTCTTTGCCTGGAATACATATTATACATATATATGACATATATTTCAATAATAATATAATTAAATTGTAGTATATATACCTCAATACTAGATTTAATATTTTCTAAAACTGATATTCTGTTGCTTATAGACGACGTGCTCTTAGACATTTCCATTGAATGTGAAGATCTCTTGTCTTCCAAGCCACATTCCAAAATTCTGAAAACACGAAAAATTCTCATTAAATAAACTTTATTTTATATGTTATGTATTCAATCAATGCTTCGATATGACTAAGTAAGATTATTTCATTGTTGTAACATCATTATTAATAGCCACAAGGCCGCGGATTACGACACAACCTGCATATAATTAGAGATATACAAAGAATATCTCAAACTAAGATAAGTACTGTAATCAATAATAATACGTCTGGAAGTAAAATATTTCGTTTAAAGTTGAATGGTCTAATGGTAATTGTGACATAAACCACTATCAAATTCTGATAATTATTAACAGTTATGTTTTTTTTTTATTTTACTCATATCTTTCTTTCAGGTGTTTAGTTCTGTTTATCCAAAAATGTACATTATTGTATAGGAAATGTTGATAAAAGAAAATATCCTGAATAAGTGAGTCTCTCAGTACATTTTTAGACATGTGACCCATTAACGTGAGTTATTGCGCGGAGTCTAAGATAAGGGTTTCTAAACACTAGTTGTAATACACTCTGTAGTGGGTCAATTTGATATAAAAATAGTCCTGTTTTATGTTTAATTAAGGATATTATAATATTTATCCCCTTTGTTCCTATTCTGTCTAGTTGACTGGTTCATACATACCTACTTTGGTATTAGGAAAATTACTTAATATATATATCTTGTACGGGATTATAAATATACTAGAAGACCCGGCGAACTTCGTATCGCCCTATAATCAAGAAATATCTGTTACGTTTTTGTATTTATATTTTTGGAGTTTAACTACTAAAGCCATAAATCTCCGTGTTTTGAAGTGCGACAGAATGATTGACATATTAGTTAGTTGTCAAATCTAATGTCAAAAAAAAACGTTTGTATCAACAACTACAAATAAATTAAAAATTAATTGAAAAAATATTGTCCATCGGAAAAAATTTTGAATCTAAACCATTCCCAGATCCGCTTGAACACACACAAAAGATTTCATAAAAATCAGTCCAATCGTTTGAGAGAAGTTCAGTGACATACACACTCACAGAAGAATGATATATATAAAGATATTAATTATTATGAACCTGTCAGTACTGCCACCAGATTTAAGCCCAGCCTCTGTCGGCCTCTTCCCGTCCCCGCTGGTCTTCCTCGCCTGGTTTAACTTGAGCTCCTCCATCCACGGCGCTCGATGTTTCTCCCAGTCACGTGCTTTTGGTCGGATCTCTTCCTTCTCTGGAGATTTCTCGACTGGTGCTAGAAATATCACAATATTTGATATAAATATAGAAAATATAATAATTCTATGAATTCCAAGGTATATGATTTTTTTTTTTACTATGATTGGTAAAGTAAGTATAATTAAAGTTAAATAGATTGGACAATTCATATAGAGTAAAATAACAATGATAGAAAGAAAAAAATATTCAAATACTTTCTGTAAGTAATTATTTCTTACTATTACTGTTCGCCGAATACTGAGAAATACTTACCTAAAATCTACCTGAATACAAGTTTTCATTAAAATCAGTTTCATAACAATCGAGTTCTTTAGAAATAAAAACACAAACAAACATTAATGATAAAATGAAATTAATTAATAATTTCCGGCTTCGACAGGTTATCGACGTGAAGCAGATTATATGTGTAATAGGTGTTAAAATAAACATAAGACTTTTTACTATGTAATAAATGATTGTATAGAAAAAGTAGACCAATATATTTAACTAGCTGATGTTCGATACTTTCCTCTTATTTTTGTAATACATTGACAAAATCTCTATAAATGAAAAAAAAACAATTCACTAAACAGGCACTGTTTACAAAATAATCATTAAATAAAAACAATTAAAACTTTAAATTGAATAAAGACATTACAATATTTTTCCTTTTAGATTTTCTACATGTGAACCAACTTTTCAAGAACAAAAACATTTTTTTATTGACAGACTATAGTTTTATATTAATACGATAAAATATAATATTTAATACGTATAATATAATTTTTAAAAGCGAAATAGCGCATCTCAGTTGTATGACCAATTATATAACAAATACATTTGATCAATGATGTGAGTTTATATTAGCAAAAAACCTTTGATATTCTGCTCTTATATGAAAATTATAAAATAAATTTTATATAGTATACCTTCATGGCCATTACTGAGCCCGATCTGTTGAAGAGTGTCGTCTCTTAACGCCTGACTAGGAGGACGTCGACGTGGAGCTTTTACCCTGAAATATAAGAAATATTTTTTTAATATTATATATTATTTATATCTTTATAGATTCACAGCAAGGCATTTTAATTAATTTCTCTGTCTTTCCGAATATGTATGTGTAAGTAGATAAGGTTAAACACCAGAGGGCGTCACTTTAGTTATAACGAATGTAAGGTAAACTCAGCCAACGAATTTGTCAGACTGAGTGATAAAAGCAAACATCATGAAACTCTTCATCAATTACCATATTCAGATGGAAGAGACTTTTATAAACATTATTCAATTAAAGATTAAATCATTTCAGTAATTATAATATTCAACATTTAATTACCATTTTAATAAACATTTTCTATAGTATAATGTCCTTAACAAAATAAACATTTTATGTATACAACTGTTATGGACAATGGCAGGCTTTGAACCAGCAACTTCCAATCTGCTTTGACAATAAAACTATTTAATGCCATAGTACATATCTTGTCGTTCTATACTACATACATATATAAATGTATTTATATATGTATATATATGGATTATAAATTAATATTACCTGCCAGCTCTAGGATCATTCAATATAGAATTCCTCTCCACATGATCAAAACTATTTGTGTCATTGACAACCATCTTGCTTGATGTTATACCATCGGTGCGATCAAACGCCGTTATACTACTCGATACTGTTACTGTTTTTTCTCTATAACAATAATAAAAAAAAACAAATATTAATAATAATTATATACAAACATATAGTATATACACTTGTGATTTTTCTAAGTCATATGTACATTCTAAGAATATTTAGACATCACTGATTCCCAAAAGAGTGTTGATGTCAGGCAGGCGGCCGGTCGTAAAAACAATTTGTCAACATTCACAACATGTAAGGCAGACCCTGGCTATAGCCGGGAAATTGCCAGGTAGAAGATATAGTATATATAGTTATATAATGTATACTAACGTTTTATCAGAGGATGAGAGCATCTTATTCTTAAGTCCACTGAACAAACCCCCTACAGTACTAGGCGTTGGACTCTTCTTTAAAGGCACAGGAGGTTTCTTAACCTGTAAATTACCAAAGAAAATTAAATTAATATGTGTACAAATACGTTTAATAATAAATTAATAGAAAAATATTATTCAATATGTTATATGAAGAGAGATAATTTTATATATTCTTGTATTTAATGAGGCTAAATTAATTTTATAAATTAAATATTATTAAAAAAAGTATAACATATAATAGATGGCATAGAATATGATTATTACTATTATTCTAATAACAAAACAAAGTTATTTGCTTATTATTACACTAACATATAGTAATGCATATCCCTACTAATATTATAAATGCGAAAGCAACTCTGTCTGTCTGTCTGTTACGCTTTCACGCCTAAACCACTGAACTGATTTTAATGTAATTTGGTATAGATATAGAGTTGACCTTGAGAAAGAACATAGGATAGTTTTTATCCCAGACTTTTGAAAGGTTCTCTTGGTAACGCGATATAAACGAACTCCACGCGGGCGAAGCTGCGGGCGGAAAGCTAGTATATAATATACCTGGGTGTCTGTAGGTCCATCTATAATAGTCTCATTGTGTATAATCTTCTCCGTTTCATTCTTAGTTGTGTGTGTGATGTTACTCTGAGTGCTGCTTTCTTTGCTAACTGTATTCTCTTTGTGCATACTGGAATTATAAAAAACATGGGTTAGTATTAATAATATTAATAATGAAGAAAAATCAGTAAATTGGATCTTATAAATATTATACATAATCATCAAATTGTTACAACAATATTAATTTATGTAGATTTTGTTAATTCACATATAAATATTTATGTATACATTAATAATTATTTTAAAGTATAAAATATATTTCTTTGGAAATTAAATTTAAAATATATAGCCACTAAATGCCAAGTAATTTCAAAATCTCACGACAATACTTATTTAATTTTGCCACAAGAACCCTATACATAAATTTAATATAAATAAATGTATTTTTAAATATCAAATAAGTGGAGATTTCATGAAATGTAATAAAAAAATGAAATTTCTCAATATTATTGTTATTATAGAGAACCACACAATTATTTATTTTTTAATCACAGATTCAATAACTGATAATATTTTCATGATAAATCGAATGATTCTATAAACATTACTTGGAATATATATCATAACTAGCTTTCCGCCCGCAGCTTCGCCGCGTGGAGTTCGGTTATATCGCGTTTCCAAGAGAACCTTTCAAAAGTCTGGGATAAAAACTATCCTATGTTCTTTCTCAAGGTCAACTCTATCTCTGTACCGAATTTCATTAAAATCAGTTCAGTGGTTTAGGCGTGAAAGCGTAGCAGACAGACAGACAGACAGACAGACAGACAGAGTTACTTTCGCATTTATAATATTAGTAGGGATAAAGATTACTGATGATCCATTTGACACATATAAAATTAATATTTTAGTTGTATATAAATATTGTAAGGAATAAATAGGACTATTATATGTTGCATGTATATTTTGTTTTATTACTAAATTTGTTGAACATATACAGGGTGACTGGTAAATTACTATCGATACTTGAGGACGTGATATTTGACAAAATAAAAATTAATATAACGTAAATATTAATAAACTTCTAAGTAAAGTTAACCAAAAGTTATGTAATTAATTACGCATCGTGTGAACACCCTACAGATTGGGTATACACACACACGCGTGCGGCGGCGTGATGTTGTATCAGCACGACGCCGCACGCGTCCACACTTGGAACGTGTCCACACTTTATATATTTATACGGAAATTTGGTCAAAAATTGAGTACCTATTTTTTTTACATAATTCGAATGAGAATCATGTACCGAGTATTCTCCTTAAATATTGATGGTAATTCACCAGTCACCCTGTATATTGTCTCTCTGAACAATACTATACTAAACGAATACTCGCAAAAGTCTTAGATCACATAATGCTATACTATTTTTGATTAAACTTTTAATACCTTATTTTAGATGTAGTGAGCTCCTTAACAGAGGCTGTTTTCTCTGAGTACTTGTTCAGTACTGGATACAGTGAGTTTGTTTTCGACGATGGTCTATCTGGCTTTTTCTCCTCAACCTCCTGGGTCACTGAAATTTTTCATTAAACTATATAAGAAAAATATTAAGTATAACTTCACATAAATGATATTAGTAATATTTTATTACTTAGTATTATATATTCGCGAAAATCCAATCACAGATACCAAAGTCACTAGGTCAAGATAAGACAAATTAAATATTCACAAAATTTAATATTAATTTATCATCATACAACCAGTCTCCCACACATTATTATCGCTAACTGTTTTCTGAACCACTCTACGGGAGAAACATAAAAACTAGCTTTACATTTGAACTTACAAAATATGAATAAATTATATCCTCTATAGAATTTCAACATAAAAAAGGAATACATTCACAAATCACAACACGACTAAATAAATATTAATTAATATTCAAGTTAATATTATTTTTATATAAGAAATTGTGTTTTTTTTATATAAACTCACTCAACATATCGGCTGTAACTCTAAACTGTACGATTGCGTCAACACAAACTAACTGAACACAAATATTACGCTAACATAGTCTCTTGCAAAATCACGAACTGTATTCAATTCGCAGCCTTCACGACAAATGTCAATATTGTAATGACAAACACACTGACATAATGTATCGGACGGCGTCTGATAAAAAATACCGGCCACGTTAAACGCACATTTATTTTTTTTATCAATTTTTTTTTGTAACAAACCTTTACGGACATTTTGCTGAAAATTTAAAACGATATAAAAACTTTTTTCTATTTACTTTTTTTTAATTTCAAATTTATTAGAACATATGAAGTGTCAATATGACAGACAAGTATATAATAATGATATAATATTGCAAATATTTATCGTACAGTTGATAACCTTGCGTCGACACGACCACTTTTACATTACACGTTGGATGATCGCATTGAATTGATTTAATCAATAACAAACAATTATGAATCACTTAATAATAATTACATTTTTAAGGAAAAAAATTACGCGTGACCCACATATGTAAAAACTTTGAAAATTATTTGAGTAAAATGTTATTTTTAAACAAATAGATAAAAATAAAATTTTACACAAAGAATTTATTCAGTATTCACATTATACCACTAAATCATTAATGAATCGTTAACTTATAGTTAATTATAGTATTCACGTAGATTATTTAGTTACAATTTACAAATTAGGAATTCTTCGCGTTTATTGTAACTATGCAGACGCGTGCTTAACATAGAGAACCCCATTATATATAAAAGAAACTATTTATAGTAAATAACGTATAAATTAGTTTTTATATATATATATATAAATTGCCGAATGCAAATTTAGTTTTTTTATGAACTAAGTATAATATTGATTATTTTTAGTTTTTTTTTAAACACATAACAAATCACTAGTAGATATTGTTCTTTGACGGCAATAAACTTAGCTAGGGGAAAAATATTACGTATACGTATAATTTTTTTATTGTATGTAGTAATTTTCTTATCAAACGTATGAAATAACATATATATGTATCTTTGTAGCTTTATGCATCTACACTTTTAAAATATTTTTTCAAAAAACGATTTCATTACTTTTAAACGAATGTTAATATTCTTTTAAAATTAGTTTGTATAGATTCATCATTCATGAAAAAAAATATAATTATTTTACAAACCACAAAAAATAAAAAATAAATCCACTATAACATTTTCCATTTAAAATATTCAATTTAACTTATTCTTATGTCAAAACGGACGATTTGTTTAAATTTATATTCATTTAGTATGTTTTATTTTATATTATTGTTAAAGAAATATAAAAATACACTACATCATATTTTTTATTATGTATATTCATTATTCATAAAACATGTTTACTGTTTATCTAGGATTCTATTTTAAACCAAGTTAGTTTGTATTAGCATAGACTAAAAATATACTACATAGTAAAACGTGCACATAAAAAGTAAAGAAAAATATTCCAACGAATCGAAGAATTTAAGAATAGAACTATGAAATGCATCGACATATACTAATGGACATGCCGTACGCGTATAATATGCAGTAATTTTTTGGTTTGAAAAGAGTGAGAGAGATGGCCTATGCTTTCGGTCTAGCACTATCTCTTTCCTCATAGATGATTCTTGTATATTCGAGTAATGAGTTAAATTTGAGAGAGATAAAGATAGACCGAAACTTCGTTTCCTCTCTTTTTTTCGGAGTGCCACAATTTTCATCTCTAAGGCATGTCCATTAGTATATGTCAATAATGAAATGTCACCAGCTATATGAAATACAAACCATAGACAATAGAAACTTTAAAAAAACTCACCGGCCGGTAACAACTGCACGAAATTATCCGGGAAAAATCCCACTCGTCCGTGAAGTTCCCCTTTCCACCAGCCTCTATCCGGCGCTTCTTTAGACACGATACTAACTATGTCACCTTCAGATAGAGTTAATTCATCTTCGTTCACCGCCGTATATGGGAACAGAACGCGGCATAACTCTTTGACTGGAAGGATAAATATTTGGTTCAAGAATACAGTATATACAATCAGATTAATGTGAACGAAAAATAAAAGTGTGAGGGATCTTTGACAAATAATATTAAAAACGTCAAATGACTAAACAGACAGATGGACAAAACAGAATCTTTGGAATATATTGTATTATACATTAAGCTCTGGAAACAATTACATTATTTTAATAATTAAAATAATTAACTTTAATTTTAATAACTTTTATGCTCTTATGATATTACCACAAGTCTTGTTTAGCACATGCTAATATTATAATATATTTCATTCATTAATAAGGAGACAAATTAGTCAACGGAAAATATTGACCGATAATTTTTGAGTTAAATTAGTTAATTCGAGCTACGTTTTTATTCAAATCCTTTATATAAAGTAAAATTTGAAAGAAATTTAGTTTATATATTTTTACTCAAACTACTTAAACTCAAATTAAAAAAATTAAAAAATGACAAAAATGTAATAAACGTCAAACTAAAACAAAAAAACTAAATTATGATTAACATGAAAAATATAACAAAAAGACATGAGAAAATTGATGAAATGATTATTATATGGGACTGTTTTATTCAAATTAGAATATAAAAGGTTCTACTAAAAATTAAAACCTTTATGACATATGAAATTTAAAGGTGTGGTTTGTTCTAAAATTAAAACAGTTATTCAAAAATAAATCATACAAATTATTGTGTATACTCATGATAATTATTCTTACAGATGATAATTTTAATCAATCTCAATAATATATGTCAAATTTAATCTCAAAATTATCTTATATTTACATACATATTTATTACTCACGAAATATAATATCAAAACTAACAATTAATCTTTGTTAGAAAAGATAAAACTAGTTATAGAGAAACATACACAAACTTAATATATATACAACATATGTAATGTATGTATGTGTAAAGATATCCTTATAATTGTAAACAAAGAGGAAAACAATAGTGAAACGTTATTGTAAATATTATGCGAGTATCATATCAAATGATTCATTGACACTATATACATTAGGAACTGAATCACTCGACTCACTAATTTAAATTGATAGCGGGGAATCCAGGATTGGATATTGTTATCATAAATGTATTGCCCCTCCAGGAAATTTACAATTTGGGAATAGCCCTTGGGTATATGATTTTGGCTGAATATATAACTTTTGTCTTATTATTTGGGATATATCATGTTGATAGATATAGAAGTTTTGGCTTATCATTTGAGTATGTAACTTTGGCTAAATATATAAATTTCGGCTTATCATTTTGGGTATGTGATTTTGGCAAAATATTTTTGGCTTACCATTTGGGTATATTATTACCATTGGGTTTTTTATTACCATTTTGGGTATAACACAAATATTTTATATATATATTGTTGAACTCACCGGGTTTTGGCGGCAGTGCGGGCGCTGGTTCCACTGGCGGTGCCGGATGTAAGGGAGGCGCGGGAGTGGGGCTCGTCTCCAACATAACGACGAAGTTGGAAGGGAATACGCCCACACGACCTGACCTTCGACCCTTCCACCAACCTTCCTCGACCTTAAGATGATAGAAGGTTTAGAAGTGACTTTAAATAGGTTTCAATCTAATTGTACTGGTGTATTATAATGATAAATTCGATATAATCATATGTCTACAATATTAAATCGACTGTTATGATATGTATTTATGTATGTATATATATTTTTAAGCAAATATTGAGTCATCGTTTTATTAAACACTGATGAAAACTTAATTTTTTTCTTTAGGGATTTTTGTTTTGCTTTAATAATAACTAAAATTATGTCTCTTTATCATTATCGCTAATTGATCGTCTATCTTGATGAATATTTTTTTATTATAAATATGAATGTAACATTTATATATTATTTTGTAAGGAGTGTTATTTATTTATCCAAAAAACTTGTACTCTATGATAGGAATATGAACATTGAAATTTCGATTATCGTTAACTGTAATTGATAGGTTAATTAAGTTGTTAAACATTAATGTGTATCGTAACTTAAAAATGCGTTTGCACTCTTTCAACATATCGTGGGATGAAGCGTATTTTAAAGCACTTTTCTTTCATTATAAATTTTAATGTTATATTTCTTTCCTTTAGAGTTATCTTGTAAAAGAGGAATATTTCTTTATTTTAAGGAGGAAGGAATATTTCTTAAATTTAAGGAGAAAAATGTAATATCATTAACATCACTTAAAATTGTGCAATAGAAAAGAGAAAATGTAATTTGTATTACAGTGACATTAAAGCTAGAAGTATGTGCAGTTTTTGTACGTTGATTGAACATTATATTTATAATTCACATAGTGTATATAGGGTTTGAATTTAACACGAATATATAGGTATATAACATACGTAATCTTTCTTTGTTATGTGTGTATGTATACGATGTTTATATACAATGCCGTACCTCGTTCAAGACCTCCAAAACGTCACCAACACATAGCGGCAGCTCATCAGGGTTCGCCGGTTGATAGCTGTACACCGCTCGACAGCGACCTTGCACGTTACTCGGCCTATTTAAACTTAACCAATAACTCTCTTGTTATATATTCACAAATAAAACTCATAATAAATATAATACGATTTACTCGTTACGACTATTTTTTATAACTAATCTAATAAATCGTCGGTTAATGCAATTCCGATAATTAAACCATTCGTGACGTCATCTCTAATTAAATATCCATTAACAAATTATATCTTGGTTAAAATGTTATCATGAAACAGTAATAACTATAGTAGTCATATAACAAGAAAAAAATAACTTGGACTAACACAGGACAGTGTTATCAAATCTTATCTCATTTAAGTAGATAAAGAACAATTATTGTTTTACTGCTAATCTGATGTCTGAATTTTCACTTTTTAATGTAGATTTTTGTCATACTACATCGTATAGAAATACAAAATTAAACATTAGGAATACATTAAAATAAAATTATATAGAAATGACCAAAAATTATCAATAAAAGTTGAAAACAATAATGACATGTAATAACTTAGTTTTAATGACTTCATTCAAATTGTTACGACTTAATATCAGAATAAGAATTTATATTTTACCATATTATTAATGAGACAGATGTTAGGTATTAATTTACATTACAATACTTTACATATATACCCCATCAATTTGTTTTTACATATCAAGCTTTTCCCGTTTTTTTATTTACAAAGCATTTACTATCACGTAATAGTATCATTATAGGTTTATGAAAGAAAAATAAGGAACAACATAATATATTATATCGTCGGGGATAGTGTAAATCCGCGTCGCTACCATTGAATAATTCCGAGTATCTACATTAGAAGCAGATTATCAGAAGAAAGTTTGAGCTGAAATATTTTCTATATTAACGACTTTTAAGGTATTTAATAGTAAATTTAACATTTAATAATTCCTAATTAGGACAAAATTACCTTAAACGTCGTTTAATATAGAAAATATTTCAGCACAAACTTTCTCCTGATAATCTGTTTCCAATGTAGATACGAGGTAATATCCAATGGTAGTTAAATAGAGTTAGTCAGTAGTTACGCGAATTTCCACTATCCCCGAAGATATGTAAAATTACGATAAAAACTTGTTGAGAGTTTGAAGACAGACAATTTGAATATGTCATATTTACCAAAATAATGTCATTCTTACCTTGCATTATTCTGATCAGTGATTACAGAGACAAAATTATCAGGAAACATTCCTTTCCGACCACGAAGTTCACCTCTCCACCAACCACCGGGCAGACGTTCCACATCTCTCAATACATCACCAGGACGTATTGTCAACTCATCGGGCTCGGAAGCATCATAGGAGTAGTTCACTATACATGAAACTGAAACAAAGAATCATATTTAAAACAAAACTAGTAACTTTAAATGTCATGTTGATTAATTAAATAAAGTTTAATTAAGTTCTCGTTGAGTTAATTATCAGGGAAGATAGGATTTTTATACAAGTAATTACAAAATTTTCTTTCAAATACAAAGGCTACCTATCTATAAGTTATTAATTAGATTGAGACATTTAATTCACATCAGTTTCATTACTAGTATATAAATATACTACAAACATGAGTATAAGAATTGACTCCAAAAAGAAATATCTATTGAATGTTAATTATAAATTTGTAAATTACTGTAATAATTTAATTTTATGATTTAATTCATTATTATATTTATAAAAGTTACTTTACATTAAAAAAAACTGGGACATCATGTTTTACTGGAAAATTTTACACATTATTAGTTAGAACTATTGATCAAATGACTGTTTTAAACTGTAATATATCTTTCAATAAAATTTTTCCATTTCAATGAACAATTGATGAAGTTTAGATACAAAAAAGATTTAATACATCCATCCAACATGTACTTAGTTGATTTACATCAAAATTGTCACATATTAAGCAACTTTATTATCTTTTAATATCATTTCTATATTTTTTTTAAACAATACATTTAAATATAGAACTATAACTATACTTTTTTGTGGATGGTTATTAATTATAACATTTCTTTACAGCTTTTTTTACAAATATTAATGGTTAAATAATATTACTACTATATATAGCACTTGTTATCATTTACCTATTTATAATTAATATATATTGTACATACAGCATTAATTGATTAGTTAAATTAATTTGTGGTTTTTATATATCTTATATATACTACCTATTATTACAATAATCACAATTATAATTATATATTGGACTTTTATTTAAATAAGGAAAATTTTTCTTAGTAATTATGTTTCTGTTGTAATTCTGTTTGTTAGTAAAGTATGCTTTATAAAATACATCTCTGTCAATTTACTACAATGTGTATTTGTTTATTGGCATTTTAGCATTCATATGACATCACAATGCTAAGACGTGAGTCACACGGCATACTTGGCGATACATAAGGACGCACGTACTATATGAGAAATATATTTATAAGTTCATAGCAGCTTTATTCATATTATTATCAAAAATTTGTAAAAGAACACGACTTCCGTGCGACAGGTGACTGACCTTATGTTACATTCATACTATTTTACACCAATTCAATAATATATAGTACAAGATATGGAAAGTCAGCCTAAATAATGTCACACAGTACAGTTAAACATACACAAACAAGAACTATGTCTTTAGTTTTACAATGACGAACATTACTCACCTTTTTGATTTGTATTAGTCTCCATTTCAGTATCTTTAAAATCACATCATAACACTTATCTTGTAAATAACTGTTTCAACACACACACGATTAAAATAACTAGTGTTTACACAAATCTTTTAACTTAATGAGGGCGAAACACGAAATAATATTTTCAATTCACGTCAGTCGTCAATTCACAAATCACACAATCACTACAGACTAAACAGAACAAATTGCAGATTAAGAATACGTTTCTTCGTCGTCACACGTGTGACGTTCAAATAGACAAAAAGGCCTGATTATTTTTAATACTATTATGTATAATGTATTAGTAACTTATTAATAATATTTAATAGCAAAGAAATCGAAATAAAACAAATAGTTTTTATTTTAATTTAAAAAAAATGCCTTATTTATTTACTCTTTAATGTACACCAATATAGACAGAAATAACAAGAGAAAAACAAAGAAAGGAAAATGTACAAATAGGCGGCCTTATCGCTAAAACAGCGATCTTTATAAGTGACTTAAAATAAAACTTAACTCTGGTTAAAAAAATAATAATTTTAGGTTTTTATTTAGTAAAAATGGTATCGTAGGTATGGTTTGATGAAATAGCAGATCGAGTGGTAAACATTTTTGGACCTTAAACTAGTAACATCAAATTAAAAAATCGTATTCAAGTTCTAGACTTGGAAAAAATAAATTGTAATGTGAAGTTTGTAATATTACCATATAGGTATTAATTATACATCAGTCTAAGATAATCATGATTCTACCAGATTCAAGCCCTCGGTGAAGCCGCCTTGTCCTTTCTTTTTATCATTCCGCATCTAACTGTAATGCGACATGCAATAGATGGACAAAAAAATATAAACAATATAATGAGACTTATGTACTTTTATTAAAATAGTATCAGCAAAGAAAAATGATGCTGATTATGTGACAGGTTTTATACAATTAATAATAAGCCACAGACATCTAAAGATTTATATAAAGATTCACAAAAAAGATGTGCATTATGAATATGCAATTTAAATTGTATACTAAAACTATACCATGAGGAACAACAGCAAATTCTTTTCTAATTTTAATGCACATAAAGGGAGTTGTAGACAAAATAATAAAAGGCATATTTAAGAAATCTCTATCAATACACAGAACTAATAAGGTTAAATGAATGTTTTTAAAATGTTCTCTACATTTCAGTTTAAGATATTATGTTTCCTGCATACCATTAAAAAATATATATGAATAAGATTACTCAAAACACCACATATTAAATTTAAAAACATTTATTTTAACAATTATCTACACATAAGTTATGTATGGAGTAAATATCCAATTTACTTCTTCAATGGCCCTGCGGAATCAGGAGGAATGCCTAATTCTTCATCTGTCCATGTTTCTGGGCTTACATATGGCCATTCTCCCTGAAACACCATAAACAACAGTAAGAAACAAATAGATTTAAATGAAACTAATATTTTTGGATTTACTATACATTTTTTTTTATTATTGACTATAAACTACATACTCCCGATGTTTGGGCTACTTTATAGCAACTGTGATCATGGGCAGATGAGATGTTGGGCAGAGACACTCATCTGTAGTTTATAGTCGCGAAAATCTTAGATATCAACAAATAGTTTGTTGAATCAATAATACCACTTTAACAACACTTGAAAATCTGTAATAAGCTACTATTTTGTACAACATAACATCAATACATACATAAACATGTTCGGGCTCAGTAGCGAGATGATAGAGAATCCACCACCAGCAGATTCCCCCGAGTACTTCAGCTAGATATATGGTTTTATTTGATGGCATTGGTGGAGGCACTCGGTACGACCAGGTTCTGAAGGTACAGTACAATGGTATATTATTCAGAAAAATCGTTTAATAACTCTAGAACATAATTTCATACAACAAAATAAAGAAAAATCTCTTATGTATGGATATAAGTAATTATTATAGATATTGATTTAGTAACCCTGAATAAACCTATATTAACTAAACATGTTATGACATAACATTTAGAACTTCAAGACATACCCATGGCCAGAGTTTCTTGTTATTTGTTTAGTATTAGCGGCTGCATTCTTAAGTGATCTAAGCAATATAGCTCTGGATAATAAATTACGGGCTAGCATTTTGCAGCCGTAATTTTTTTTACGAAACCAATGCAAAAGTCTGAATCCTGAAAATATTTTTGCTTCTTGACATTTGCTCAGACTTCAAATGTCAAATGTTTGACAGAAGTCGCATTCAGTTTTAATATTTTTTTATACTTCTTAAAGATGACTAGCGAAAATAAGAACTGTGTGTGAAACTGGATATAACCTGTAATTAAAAGAACCGTCAGTATGCACGACAAATTTAAGGGGATATTAGGCAAAATTAAATTATCAGACATGGGTCTATGGCCTCAGTCCATTATAAAAACCATATCGTTAATCAGGAAATTTAGTTTTGTTAACGTTTCTGGGGACAGAAGATTCTTCTATTTGGCACCTTCCTTTAAAATACGGCCTTGAAGGGCTTTAAGGACTAAGGGCTTAAAGGACGTGCTAAGAATGCCATTGGCGTTATTGAAGGAAATGTGGAATTAATGACTGAAAATATGTTGGTTTTGTGCATTAACTTTTCTTTTGTACGAAGTAAACCAGCAAAAATAGTAACTGTCTATTATGTAAGAGTTTTATAGTAAGACTAGTATTGTGTATCAATCGTTAAATTTGGTTGGGAAGCACCCATCGGTATAACCAACTTCAACCATCAAAAATCTGCGCAGTTCTGTAGAAAGCGTTTTCCAAAAAGTACTTGACTATGCTTTTACTTTTAGTTCAATTAAATATAAGTGTCCAAGAGTTCACTTTTCTTCATAAAAATACTTAATAAACTTAATAGCAAATGTCAATTTTTGCTAAAATTTGCTTCTCGGTCTTGGACTTCGTAGAAGTGTTTAATTATTAAATTTTTCTTCAATTGTCTCGACTGGATTTCTCGAAAAGTTTAGCAACCTGATATGGTACCTATTAAAAATCTTGTGGGTTTGATATTCATTAGTAATAAAACTTAACTTTTGGGAATAGAAATGCGATTCCTAACAAAAAGTATGATATCTGGCTTCTAGGAAGAATACCTAGTTGGACGGAGAAGAGGTGTAGGTACGCACAAATAAGTTACGGTTTTAAAGCCTCTTTTAATTTATATTTCATACATGATTAACTTTTTCATGAAAAGTTTAGGTTAATATATTAGTAAACATTATTTTTAAAAGAAATGCTTGTAATTATCTTCCATATAAATGTAATGCTCTCAACAAGATGGAATAAAAACAATATTATACAAGGTCCAAAGCCACTACATGAATACCAATATGAAGAAAAGGTTTAGTTAAGGAAAGAGAAATCAGTTCTTACAGTGCTTGAACAAGACTTCTTAAAAAAGCGGTTTTGTATGTATACCAAGTTCTAAGATGTAGTTTTCCATGTTAAAATTGTTCGTGTCACAAAAATCAAATCAGCCAATTTATAGCCAGGGCAAAGTATGAATAGTTAAAAATGTGGGTGAGGGAGCGTTCAAGTATTACGTAACGCGATTTAGGGGGAGGGGGGGTCTCGTAAAACGTTACGATGCGTTACAGGGGCGGGAGGGGGTGTCTCTTACAAAACGTTACGTAGCATTGTTTCTAAAAAAATATTAATAAAAACCCCCAAACTGGCAGCTCTTTTATATTTTTATTTGTTATTCCAAGTTTGCAAACCTCAAAATTGATATTTTACTGGGAATACCTAGATTGCATTGTCTTTTAATGTTGCTTCCGTGGTCAGTATTCGTTAGTGTTTATCCGTGAGTTCATAGTGTTTATACTGTAATTTTTTCAGAAGAGGGAGATTTGTGTCAATGATCTTTTTTCATTTAATAGATTAAAACTATACCAAACTAGTACATATTGTTTTACGACTTTGGATGAAATTGATCACTTGAGTGTTACGGGGGGGGGGGGGGGGGCTACAGAAAAATGTTACTGTGCGCAGTGGCGGGGCAAGACCTAAATTTGATGTGGGCAAAACAGATTTCGCGAGGCCCTATTCTATGGCAACCTGAAGCTCTTACTACCTGCTAGTTTTAAAAACTTAATCGTCGATACGATTTTTACCCTTAAAGCTTTGGTTTCCTTTAAAACACAGTATAAAGCATATTTTATATACTAGTAATTATTGCGTTACATACTTATTACCAATTAAATATTTACTTAATGAAATAAAGACGAGTATAGGTACCGGTGTATTACAAATCACAAAGAAAACAAAAACAATTAAAAACGTCACTGTTTTCGGGGGCAATCAATATACTTAAACACTATCTATTTATTCGCTAAATATTATTAAAACATTGACCCCACTATTCTTATCAAAATTGGTAAGTACAGTCATAAAAATAAACAATATTGAATAACACAATTATATATGTACATACGTTTTCTTTGGTATGCGCGTAACGCCAGGGGTAAAACCCGCACTCTGGTAGGCGGCAAATGTTGCCAGTCTAAGAAAATATCATTATCAACAAAATTGATTTATTTATATATTTTTTTCTCGATTTAAAAATTTTTTGAGGCGCGAGGCCCCTTGTGCCGCGAGGCCGTAGGCGGTGGCCCACGTCGCCCACGCCTTACGCCGCCACTGACTGTGCGTTACGAAGGGGGAATGGGGGGTCAAAAATCTTCGAAAATTGCGTTACGTAATACTTGAACGCTCCCTGACTAGAAAACAAATAATTACTTTTTCATACTTTTTTAAAATAAATATTGAAGTTGATCTCAGTTAAAAATGATGTATGATAATCAACAGAAATAAAATCACAATTTCAAAGGTATAATTTAAATTAAGACTAGATTTCTTTTATCACCTATAGAACTACACAATTTATGTACATTTTTATTTTTTAACCGATTGACAACATTGATTTTTTCCTTTTACACCATCTTCTGGTATGGCATTGTCATCATAGGGGATGTTATCCAATTTGACAGTATCTTCTCTTATTCTAGCTTCTGAAAACAATAATAATAATTGTTTTAAATAGTGATTTAAGGCAGGGCTGCCCAAAACAGGTTTGGACCCATAGAATCTTTTTTATCTTCTTTTTTTAAATACATTTATGATTATGAGCAACTACTAGTAATAATAATGATAGTATTATTATTAGTATTTTTAAAAATATTTTGCGGGGCACTAATGTATTTTAGTTATTTTTATTGGCTCTGCGTCCCAACAAGTTTGGACATATCTGATTTAAGGCACTAATTTGGTTAAAATAAATTCTTCTTACCAAACACTCCTGGTTTCACTTCTCTTGCTTGTATAACTTGGGTCCTTAATTCTCTTTCAATGTCTTCTCCAAATTTTATCAACTAAACATAAAAGACAGTTTGAAATTTAGAATAACACTAATAATTACATATAAATATTAAGTATAACAAGTTATATTACATTTAATAGAATTGAGATAATAAGAACCGCTATACCTTTTATTAAATTTATTGTTTAATAAAATCCTATAAAATATAATTTATTTTCAAACAGGCAATGTGTATAAAAAGCAAGCAGTAATACACATAGATACAATCATAATTCTATCCACTATTTTGCAAATATTGTATTTGCTTAAATATTTTTTGAGGTAGCAAAAAAAACCTAACAAAACCTGGTCCACAATATATTGAATTTATATAAGTTTGATGGCAAACAGAGCATAAATAATGAAAATATAGTATATTATGACTATGTTTCTATGTTATAAAAGTAATGTATGTTTTAAAAGTAAAAAATAAAATAAAAATACAGTTGGCACTTTATGTAAACCTAACAGAACGTAAAAATTTGAATATGACACAAAAGAAAAACTTGTAAAGTAATTATTAAAGTCAATGGTAGTAAATATCAAGTTATCAAAATGTTAACAATAGTTTTTAGAAATTCTATACAGTAACCTCTTGGATAGCTTCCTCCTTATGAACCTCTTTATTTTTGACGAATCCTTCATTAATCTTTTGTCTGGCTGCAGTTAGAGCTCTCTCATCCCCTTCAAACACTCTCATCCTAGTTCTATGCAATTTCTTGAATACTTTTAGAACCTAAAAAGACAAAATAATATTCAATTAGAATGCAATAAGGTATTTGTTTGATATGCTCTAACCATAGAAATTTGAGTGTAAATGGGAAATGTAACACTTGAATATAATGTTGAACAGTTTAATGTTTATCATGGTCAGCGTATGCATATACCTGCAATCGTAAGACGCTCATAGTCGTATTTTAATCTCGAATTTTCTATAATGAAACTATTTCAAAATACATAATATTCGCTGCAACTTATATTCAGAGTTTTGACATTTTAATAAGAATAACTTGACAGCTATGCTTGACAGTTGACAGTTAATTTGGAAATTAGTGAGTATTTTATTATCTTTGTTTTGTACTTTATTTTAAAAACTAAATTACTCTAATTTAAAAAGCGTATAAAAAATAGTTTCTATAATTATTACTTGCAATATGGCATGACAGATATTAGAAGGAACAACGCTGCCAATCAAGGGGAAAAACCCCGATTTTCATGAAGATTGAGAGTTAACGCCCGGAGAACCCATGGAATGACATAAATCGTGGATTTCCCAGTAATTAGTTGCCCTCGCGAAAAATATATCTTGGTATTTACATAAGGATCAAACTATTTCCACTATTGATTCGGATGCATTTTATATATCCTGTTTTGCTTTGTATATTGAACTAATCGTAAACATTGTAAGAAGGTTTGATTTCAGTGATCCTATGTTTGAATTGAATAATGAATTCTGTCGACTATTTAATTAAAGCCTAGGCTTTCAACATGAAATCTTTGAGTGGAGTTTTACATGTTTCCGAATTAAAAAAAGTTTGTTCGGGGAATTGACAACACTGAAGCTGGGAATCAAGAAGTTTTTATTAGCAGCACTAAGATTCTTATATTATTAGTCTTTTACAGAGCCGTAAAAACATTTACAAAATAAATATATTAAATTATAATTTTTAGCTCTGGCAACACTGTCACTTATACATCAATGGACAGTGACCAAATACTCAAAACTCAATTTACAATTTGTGTTCAGTTATAGGTGGACCGTGATTTAGATTTATGTACTAAACAGTGAATGTGAAGTTTTATTTAAGTCTATATTGTGATAAAGCTTCATAAATATAACTATAAAGTTATAAAAATTATTAAACTTTAGCATTATTTTGCATAAAGGTAATTGGATGTCATTGTTCGCAATTTGTTGCCGCCGTGTTGTAGTGGAAATCTGGTGTGTAAATAAGTGAATCACGGTGTCAGTATCTAGGTACCATCAGATAATTTATTGCTTCCTGGTAAGTTCTTTAGTCAGTTTTTGTGTATTTTGTGCTAATGATAATGTGTCCTATTTTCATTCCTTTTATTCTAACGCAAGTGAAAAAGTATTTTGGATTTATAACAAAAGTTTTATCGAAAATTTAGAAAGTAGAACATCACCAACTACAAAATTTTATTTTTGTTATTATTTGTCTTATCAATAGATAACGAAATATTTACAAATCTTTAGCTTCTTTGATGATGTTTATGTTTATGGAATGTTGTAAAACAAGTTTCAAATATAAAAGAATATTTTTTCCTTAAAATACGTAAATGGTTATCTTTTAATTTTTTATTTTTTAAGTATGCAATAGTTATTTAAATTTATCAATTTTGTTGTCTTATGTAAGTGTTAACAAATCCATAAAAATGAATAGTCTTTGTTTAAAAAATATTAATTTGACCATATAGTTATCTTATATGATTAATTAATCTCTTACTAAAAATGCCACTTTTATCAAACAAAATATTCTAAATTCTAAATTATATGTAACTGTACAATGCAAGTGTTAATTGCAAGATAATAAATTCATTGTATATATAATTTTATATCAATGGAATAATAATAACTGAGTTGTACAGTACATAGGTCATATTAGTCACAGATCATTGTGTTAATTAATTATTACATATGTTAATTAGTTGTAAAACTGAAGCTGAACTTATCTTAGTTCATTGAAATCTATGACTAATTTAGAAGGTAAAGCAGATATATGACACATTAGATTACCTATTAAATTATATAATTAATATATATTTTAGAGTTAATGGAAAGTTATTATACATAATTAAAATAAATAATTAGTAAAATAATGCTCTTATAGTAATTAGTTCTGAATAAAAAGGTAATTAAAAGCTTTTTTTGTTGGTTATTAATGAACATTTATGAAAAAACTATTAAGTTCTGCATTGTATTGTGTGTATGAAGAAAAATGTTTATATTGCACACAATTGTTTTTGTTTTTATTAAATTGTTATGTCATTATACTGTTTACAATAATATAATAATAACCTCATTTTAAATTTAAACAAAATTCATTTATTACTGTTACTATACAAATCACACACACTAAAAAATGCATACATATGTCTTTTTTTCTTTTATCTCTGATAAATAAAAGAGATTTATTAGAAAATTATGTATAAAATAAAATCCACTCACATTATTCTTTTATATTCCCTATGAAAGTCATGTAACATAAAGTATTTTATTATATTTTTAAAAGTTATAGAAATTATTAATAAAGTATTTGTCTTAAGGGTTTCAATTTTAAAGACTAAGCTAAAAGTTCTTTGTGTAGACTGAAGTGCAACATGAAATGTGTCTTATAAAATACATTATGATTTTAGAAGACATTTCTTATGAAAATCAATAAATTATAACTGATATGTTGAAAGTATTTTTTTCTCACAAAGAAATATCTGTATATAATTAAACAATTGATATTGAAGTACTTAAAGGTACTACTTAATATGAAATTCAAATGTAAATTTAATTTTTTTGCTGTTTTAAAAATTAAATTTCCCATTATATTCATAAATATCATAATAGTTTGCTTATAGCTTAACTATGCAAAATCGTTGGATTCTTATATTTGTATGACACCACCAATAATTTGGCAGATCTTATAAACTTTTGTTATTTCAAATGTTTCCAATAAGCCTGGTAGCTTTAATAGTTGCAACCCATGTCTGTATCCATAATATTTTTTTTATAATAACAAAATTAATATTTTCGGATTATACTCGATTTTTTAATTTTATGCTGGTCCTTACTCACTTGTATTGACTTTGCGATTGGGTTTGGCAAAACAAATGTGTGCTTGAATGAACTAGTTCAGTGTTCTTCAATCTGTAGGTTGCAAGCTCTTGGGGGTAGCAAAGACTTGATTGTCGGTTGCTGGCAATAAGAAAAAGGTAAAGTTCTACACTACAATAAAAATCAAATGTTAATGAGAAGGATGGGCTTGTTCAAAAGCATTTTAAGTCGGGGTGTTATTTTTGAAATACTAATTATCAAATCAGCTTGTAATTGAACTTTTTTTCTCTATTTTGTTTTGTTGTTCACCATTGTAGGGAATATCTTTAACTTTAACTTAGCTTTTTAATTTAATAATTTCCTTGCCCATCTGTGGCGCAAGTGGGTCGGTAAAATTGTTCAACCCATAAAGGAGTCGCGATATCAAAATAATTTAAAGACACTGAACTAGATAACACGGTAATTAGCTGGCAGCGCCATCTAATGTCAAACACAAGACTTTATACAGAGTACTACAGTTTTATCGTGTTCCTTCTTTAATTACACGGAAATTCAGAACAAATTATCGTCAATATGTCATTCGGATTTCTAGGTTACATTAATAGAAAGTCTCATCAAAATCCGTCAAGCAACTTTTTCGTGAACTAGTAACAAACGTCCACAAATCTATACTCACAAATATTGACCTTTACCATACAATGTAATATGTATATATACTGGTATATATATTTATTGAATAAAATAGTTCATGCTGCATATAACATTAATTTCTGCTATGTGTATGATATTATAATTGTATTGACACATTTGTATCAATCTGATGAAATGTGTAACATATTGTTTCAACTGTCCCTGTAAACATTGTTTTTTTTCTTTCCTGGTAATTGAATGTTTTATCATTATTACATCCGGGATGATGCTGTCGGGCTGTCACTGAGACGAAGTTTACACGTACTGAGATAAGGTTAATAAAATTTAAACACGTCTGTACATGAGTTTATAGATATGGGTTTTTTTAGGATCGTATTACATTATTAGTATTAGCATATATGTATTGCTACCAGTTATATACGTATCATATTTATACATATATATAATGAAATGACGTGTTCATATACGCGTATATTCGCAATAGAACTATAGATTCTTTATATTTTTTATCGTCTTTGGTTTCATGTTATCTATGTCAAGCGTATAATATATTTTTTTAATGTGATTCGCAACTGTGTATGTTTATACTTGGTAACACATTTGATACCCACACGTAGTGACCCGTTTAATCATAGCGTTAGCTATTACTGTTTTGCAAAACCATAATCATTGTTTACAAAATATGACTGACATATGCTCCAGTCAATTGTATTATATTATCTTGCAATTTTTGTTTTATCGAAAATAGGTACTTAAATGTTATTTTGACTTTATTTTCCTCATAATAATGTTTTTTCATTCAAATAGTTTATAAAGCTATAAAATAAATAAATATATATATTTTATTCTTTTCAACATCACTATTAAAAACACGAATGCATAAATATTGTGTGGAATTTTAATGCATAATTTCATGTTTATAGCTTTAACGGTCTGCATGATTGTGAAACAAAGGAATTTCTTTCTTAAATATATAAATTTAGATCTGATCAACAATATAAATATTAGAGGTTTTTCCTGTTACTGTTTGATAAAAAAAACCTGACATTAGATTATTATGTGTAAATTATTCATCGAGCGAAACGAGGTGACCTACAACGTTGCTTTCTTATTTGAATTTTTGTATACCAATTAAATAGCATTCTTTTTCCATCTTCATTGAATATAAAAATATATAAGATGTTTAAAATGTTATAAGATTTGTACATACAGAAATAATTAAATTTATGTTATGTGCACAATATTCTGTTTTTCACATATACATCGCATATGTGCTCGTAGGAAATGTAGATATTTTTAGATCAAACCCACTCATCCACTTGGACAATATAAACTCCATGATGCGAGCAAAACTAGTCTTAAATCTTTATATACATAAATGATAATTTTGAATGTATACACATATTAATTATTTTTATTCATGGTTATTACATCAGGGTACTTCATATGATTGCAAACTATGTATGTATATTTGATTTTGAAATATATGTTCAAAGAAGATGTATATACATTTTTTTAAATTATTTGTTTGTGGTTTTTCATTTATGTATATTATATATTAAACTGGTTCGTCAGCAAACCAGCTAGAAGCTATCAGATACGTCTTAATTACAAACCATAAGTTTATACCTCACATAGTCATACTAAACCCAGGTCAGAATTCCATATAAACTCATCTAGCATTTAACCCGTTTGCATAACATTAGCAAACAGTTTGCATTGATTTTTTTAATTATAACCTATTGCTAACTACGCATAATTACTAGAAATTTTTTAAATCAATATTCAGCAATGAAGACGTTTGTTATCGTAACCTCGATATCCAGACGGTAGAATGATACAAACATTTTTACTTATTTACGTTTTAAAACTTCAGCCAATTTAAAATTTCTTCGCTGTGTTTGTTTAAGTCAACAATATTATAAATATTTTGTAAGACAAGCAATACTGAACAAATAATATAGAAAAAAGATGATAATAATATATTTTTTTTCTGTCTGAATATTATGAAATTCAAAGCAATTACCAATGAATACTTAATGTCATATGAGTAGATCATTTCATTATACATAAATATGTAATAATATATATGTACAATAATGATAAGCCATTTCTAGCAATTTGCAGCGTTAGACTGACGTATAATGCTATGCTCATGTGGTTCGTACTTCGTGCGGTTCAATCCTGTTTATATACTGAATAAATACTCACATAGTTTTTGTTAACGATTTTGCTATTGTAACAAAATGATAAACATACCAACGGATATTGAAAATAATGTATTGTCTTTAAATTTCTGCGTACCCAATGACTCAGACTCGGCGGGAGAGAATTTAAACGGGCCAGAGGACAATTTATATATAGATATAATATGTTTTAAATACATATGTGTTAAATTTAATTATCTTTAAAACAGACTTATACCGGAAATGATTCGCACTTGGCGCGGACTGTTCTCCAGCCTTGATTTTGCGACACCGAATAAGACCTTCATACACTTTTAATTTAATTATTTTCATTCCGTACTTTATAATTACATATATTATATCTATGTTACTTTGGTAGGATTTTTTGAGTAAAACCCCTGTCTCTGTGTATTTCCCTCCTCGCAAATAATGCAAGTCTTATAATATACTTATTTAATTTAAATATTAAAATACAGTGATATATATTTATATGTGAATGATATTTATTATAAATATTTATTTTGCGCAATTAAATTCAATACGTTTTTTTTATATCAGTCTCAATAAATATGGCATTGTTACAGAGGAAACGTCGTACGAAGTGGATTAAAGTTGAATAAGAGGAAAGTTTAAACAAGTATTGAATGCCTATTGTGAGAGGCAAACATCGGTTTTGTTATGGAGTCGTGTTTACACCACTGAAGCAGATATGTTGGCGGTAGGGGTTATCGTGCTCCTGGCTGCGTCGGTCTCAGCCCTACTGGAAGGACCTAACGTTTGCACTAAACAGGAAACGTAAGTACATTTTTTATATCCAATATTGTAGAAATATACTTTAAGCTCTTATTCATTTTCCTTTGCTTAGGTAGAGAGAGGAGTTTGGACAGTAGACATGAGCATTTAATACGCGTTAGCTTGCTACACCTGGGTCACAAATCCCAGGCACTGTTTAAGCTCCTCTCCCTGCAACGCGATAGACTCAGCATCCACACGTCAATGTGTTTAATGCTAAGAAATTTTGTTTCATTAAGCCGTCCTTGCTATGGTGTTATATCAATGACATAACGAAATCACGAATAAATATGAAAGTTTTTAGTTTCATCCTAATTTGTAGGGTAATATGTATAAATATAATAAGAGTATATTAAAATACTTTTCATTATTCAATCTCGTATTTATTTAGGTCACTTCTTAAAAAATAAAATGTAGTTCGTTAAAATATTTATTTAAATGTAACTTTAACAAGGCCTATAAAAAAATTAACACACACGATAAGGAATTTTTCATCTGAACTATTAATTAAAGAGTTGAAGAACATAGACGAGAAACGCTTCTGCAAATCTAATTGTGCTATTAAACTAATTTTCGTAATTAAAACCTATCCGCTATTTGATACGTTTATATTTACGAATTAGTTTGCGTTAACAGAATAATTAGAGCGTACACATATGTATATAGATGTGTGACAATGAATATTGAATGTAATTAAAAATATAGGTAGAGTGTAAAAATACTTTTATTTATACTATACAAGCTTGGGCGTTGTGATGTTTAGTCTGCGAAATATAATGGTGTTAGGTTTGTAGTTCGGTCCTGTATGCAGTGTTTAAAATACCATGCTGTGTAATAAGTCACGTTTATTTTGTGTTACGCGAGCAATTTCAGAGTTCAGTTCAGACGTATAAAGTTTTATACAATAATGCTTTGTTTGAAAATAATTTTAACGAATTATGCGAATACATACAGTATAAGTCATACTATCATTGGTAATACCGTAAAATTTATATGTGAAATAGAGCGTACAAAAATATATCATATTTTATTGATTCAATGCCAATACATTTTGTTTTTATTCTCATTAACAATAATTAGGTGAAGCAAACAAAAAATTATACTATTATTTTAATTCTAATGACCGTTTAAATGCATAGCTAATTAATTTATTCTATACATATTTTATCTTAATATAGAAATATCAAGATAAAGTGTTGATTAAAAAATAAATTTCTCGTAAATTTTAATAGGTATTTTAAAATACTAATGATATTAAAAGTTTTCATATAAGAAATTTACAGTTTACGATTTAAATAAAAGTTTTATTATGTGGAAGAGGAATCTTTTTAATATTGTTTATTTTCAAGCTTATTCGAAGTATTTAACTGGTCACTGGAAGTCATAAGAGATTGAATTTCAACTGACATTTAAAACTTAATTGACCCATTAGATAAACAACTTTCAGCGGACGTTGTATCAAATGTCACCAACTAACAAAGAAGAGTTGAAATTATTTATGTGAATATCGTTCTAGATATACAACAGTAATAAAGGTGTCAGCACAACAGCCGTATCAAGTGAAGGAGTACGCTTGGTGTTTCAATGTGCCCCCACGATGCTCAAAATACAATGTGAAATTCAAGCAAGTTTTTAAATCACAAATGCTGGTAAAACAGCGGCCTATAGAGCAATGTTGTGATGGCTACGCTCCCGACCCAGAGGGGAGGCAGTGCGTGCCTGTGTGCGTGGAGGCATGTGTTCACGGGAAATGTGTGGCCCCTAACACTTGTGCGTGTGCGCATCGTTACGGAGGGCCCGCCTGTGATATATGTGAGTGAAAATTAACCAGTATAATGCAGCGATATTATTGCTTAAAACAGTCCTTGTTGTCATGATAAGTATGATTCAGTAGTGTAAGATTCTTTTTTATGCTACAATAGTTGGTGAATCACCATACACTCCACCTCATGTCAAATGCCTAATGACATATGTATATACATATATATCCATGTATGATCTATGCATAAAGATATTACGTATTCATTCAATTTAAAGGGGTTTAGGGAAGCGGTGGTCATGATTGACAGAATATTCTGTCATGTCAATTTATTGGACGAGTTATATTCAATTTGTTTGTAATTCAATAACACGATAATACAGTTTTTTAAATCATTATCTTCATATGCATTTAACAATTGTCATATCTATAGTGTTATTGTTCAAGTGCATTTTAAGTATTCCCATATTTTGCTATTGATTGTTTTACAAGTAGTTTGATAGAAATATACAAATCATGTCCATTGGAACTAATGGCCGAAATAAAAATAAGTCATTTACATAACTTTTAATAGTCGAGTAGGGAAAAGACTTGACATCTTAAAAACTATATATTAAACTAGCTGCGCCCCGCGGTGTTACCCGCGGATTTCCGGCATGTAAAGTAGCCTATGTGTTATTCCTGGACGTCAGCTTCCTGTATATAAAATTGTATCAAAATCCGTTCAGCCGTTTGAGTGTGAAGAAGTAACAAACATACACACAAACTCACAAACTTTCGCAATTATAATATTAGTAGGACTACCAAAAACTGTTATAAAGGAATTTAATTTATATCCTATAAGTCCCAGGTTCCAAAAATCAATTATTCAATTAGTCAACACTACTTTAAATTAAGAAATGTCTTTATTTAAATAAAAATATCATTAAATTTCCAGCATGCCCTGATGGTAAGTGGGGTAGAAATTGTCAGAATGAATGTCGTTGCATGCACGGCGGTTCATGCGAGCCGCTAACAGGCGACTGTGCATGTGCTGTCGGCTGGTGGGGGGATGCTTGTGAGAAGGCCTGTGCACCCCCCACATTCGGTCAGAACTGTGAACAGATCTGTGCATGTAAGAACAATGGCACCTGTGACCCAGCTAGCGGCGCATGTACCTGCCCACGCGAATTCACCGGACCTTTGTAAGTATTAACAAGTAATTATACATCCTACTTAAAGTGCGTTTGATTTAAGCTGAGCTTTGCATTTGTGTGAGTGTACACGGATAGTGTAGGTGTGATGTCATATTTTTGAATACCACGTTCTTTTCTAGTTTTGAATCGGTTTATGCTGCTTTTTCTCCGCCCCGCACTTTCCTCACTTCACCCTTTGTACTGATAGCAACGTTAAATGTTGAAAACGCAATATCAAGTGAAGAAGAATTTGTAGTTTTTTCAAAAATTATATTAATTAATAATTTTTTTCCATAATATTTACAAGTTGACAAGTTTTGCTTATTTTATTTTTAATCTAGAATAGTTCTCAAACTTATGTATTTATTTCAATTATAATAAAATGTAATTCTAAAAGTTTTTTGTCTAACTCTACTTTTACTTTCACTCACACAAATGCAAAGCTCAGCTTAAGTCTAACGGACTATACTATTCCTTTATTTCTACAGTTTATTTACAACATTTATCTTGTTTCGTTGGCCTCAATCTAAACATATGTTTTAGGTGCGAGAGGGAGTGTCCCAAGGACGACATATGTCCGTTATCCTGTTTGTGTCAAAACGATGCTAATTGCAATCTTTTTACCGGCGACTGTGAGTGTACTCCGGGTTGGACCGGTGAAGTATGCGCTAATAAGTTAGTATATAACGATTTAGATATCTTATCTTTATAACTATATATTTTTTCATTCATATATATTTTTTATGTGTTAATTAGTGGTGTATAAAGAAAATATAATAATAATATATGCATTTTTGCCTATGTAACTTTTTTAACTTTTCAACCGTATTTACCGTCTTAAAAACCTTCCATTATGAATACTTTTTTGTCATTTCTTATATTTTCTTTCTTTGATATGTTTACGTAACTATATATGTATGTTATATATTTGTTTCTATTATAGATGTCCGGCCGGTCGCTGGGGTGATAAATGTAGTAAGACTTGTGAGTGTTGGAACGGGGCCAGCTGTCATCACGTGACCGGTCAATGTCAATGTGAGGCTGGCTTTACTGGGGACAAGGTATATAGTTTATAGAAATATCTTAATTTATATATGTTAGTATAAAATATCCATAAAATAAGACAAAAGTCGAGAGATATGAATTAAGTCTGTGGAAACGATAATGTAGAGCAACGGTCAGCGACATTTATCGCCTGTGGCACGTGACCTCAATCAAAATATGATTTTAATTCAGCGATCCAAGAACCTAAGGATTGAATGATTGAAATGTTATATCAAATTCATTTAACAGTTTTTCGTAAAGGACAAATTTCTTCATGTCAAAATATCATTACACACTTGCTCATAAAATATATTAATATACTAGAAGACCTGGCGAACTTCGTATCACTCTATAATCAAGAAATATCTGTAACTTTTTTATTTATATTTTTGGAGTTTACCTATTAAAGCCATAAATCTCCGTGTTTTGAAGTGCGACAGAATGATTGACATATTAGTTAGTTGTCAAATCTAATATAAAAAAACGTATGTATCAACAACTACTAATAAATTAAAAAAACATTGTCCAGCGGACAAAATTGTGAATCTAAACAATTCCCAAATCCCCTTGAACTCACACAAAAACTATATTTCATTCCCAGTGTCTAGAGTCCTGTCCGCTGGGTACATACGGAGTGTCATGTGCTGGGGTCTGTAAGTGTCAACACGGGGGCGAATGTTCCCCTAAGGACGGTTCGTGCACCTGCAAACCCGGCTGGCAGGGCGACCGGTGTGAGAGGCGAGCCTGCCCCGACGGTCTGTGGGGCCCGCGGTGTGATAAGACCTGCGAGTGTAACCCCACAACTACTGAAATGTGAGTATTATTTGAAATTATCTTATATGTAGTATGGAAATCCCTACTAATATTATAAATGTATAATAACTCTGTCTGTCTGTCACGCTTTCACGTCTAAACCGCTGAACTGATTTTAATGATTGGTACAGAGATAGAGTTGACCGTGAAAAGAACATAGGATAGTTTTTATCCCAGACTTTTGAAAGGTTCTCTTGGAAACGCGATATAACAGAACCCCACGCGGGCGAAGCTGCGGGCGGAAAGCTAGTATATTATATAACGTTATGATTCCCAGGTGTGATCCGTGGACGGGTGCGTGTGAGTGCGCCGCGGGGTGGGCGGGGGAGGCGTGCGCGCGACAGTGCCCTCTACTAACATACGGCAAGGGCTGTCGATCAACCTGTCGCTGTGAGAACAGCGGGCTCTGCTCGCCCGTTAATGGTGATATATAAAATTACTATTTTGACAACCCTACACACATCAATATACTAGTCATTACTATTTGGTGTTTCATATTCACATCAATTTTATACACTTCAATAAGAAATCAGTAGCAATTTCATAGATAAGAAATCTAAAGTTGAATTATAAATAAATTAAGAAAATATAATGAAGATGTCAAAAATAATGAGTCTTGTGAGATGTTTATAATTAATAATTTATTATTGTTCTATAACTGCACTATGACCTTGAAACAACAGAGTGAATTAGATATTTCTAACGTTATATGATTTGTGATATATAGATATATCTATCTATGTATCTATATATCTAATGATATTTATATAACCAGGTTCATGTCTATGTGAGCCGGGTTACCGTGGTCTGCGTTGCGAAGAGCCATGTCCGTACCCCTTCTATGGAGACAACTGCGCCGACACGTGCGACTGTCGCAACAACGCCACTTGCTCGCACGAGACCGGACAATGTGACTGCAAACCCGGGTTAATACATAGTATTATTATTAATATTTAATAGCCATTTATATATTTTATCAGATTCAACACGTATTGTCAGACATAAAAATAATTTAAAACATTATAGTATATTATAATTAGTACGGCACAGTTGGCACCACTTTAACACGATCTCTTCTTCCTGGCAATTTCCCAGCTTTAGCCAGTTTCTGCCACTTGTAACATGATCTATTAAATATTATTATATTGATATTTATACTTATGTTCTATATGGTATGTAACATAATATCATTGAATTTCGGTAATCAATATCGATGTATTATATAAGTGTTTGAATATGATATCGTTGTACGTATCGTGTTAATTTAGTTAGGCTTGTATTATTACAGTTTCGATGGTTTGAAATGTGATCGTCCTTGCGACGGGAAGACATTCGGCTTGAGGTGCCGTCAGCCTTGTAACTGTGAGAACGACGCTCCTTGTAATCCTGTTAACGGTAGGTGTTTTACAAATTACTATAATAAAACATCTCTAATTTAATTACTATTTCTAATACTCATACTTCAATTGCTTACAACTGTTTTCCTTAAACTGTTTAAAATAATCCAAGCGTCGACTCGTTTTACTAGAACTTAAAGCAAAGGATTGCATTAAATAGAAAAGTTGTCCAAATAAACAAACTATTTAGAGTATACGGGTAATAAACAGATAATCAAAATGTTTGATATTCTATAAAAACTGTTGTACCCCGTTATAAGAAGAATTGTTTACGCCCGCAGCTTCGCCCGCGTGGAGTTCGGTTATATCGCGTTTACAAGAGAACCTTTCAAAAGCCTGGGATAAAAACTATCCTGTTCTTTCTCAAGGTCAATTTTATCCCTACCAAATTTCATTAAAATCAGCTCAGCTAGACAGACAGACAGAGTTACTTTCACATTTATAATATCAGTAGGGATTATTATATTAGTAGGGATATTATTTGTTAATATATTTGAATTTCGTTTATAGGCGAGTGTGTATGCGGGCCGGGCTACGAAGGTCCTCGATGTGAGCGTCGGTGTCGCGCCGGTTACTACGGACAGAATTGTTCTTTACCGTGCGACTGTACTCAGAACGCGGTCGGCTGTCATCACGTGACGGGCGCCTGTGTGTGTGAGAGCAGCTGGAGAGGTACAGTCGTTAACACAAGCCTTTATATTTTACTTACATCTTAAGTAATAGCTAATATAAAGGTTAAGTACAGTCGTGTACAGTCACTTATCAAACATCGCATTATGGCACAAGTAATACTGTGTTTTAATGTTGGTTTATAGCGTAAGTACTGGCTAGAATAAAAACTATATCATTATGGGTACATTCGTGCACAGTAAATCAATGATTGTGATGAATCTGTTATAATTAGTCTATATTACGTTATTTTCTCTGTAAAATATATTGTTACAGTAAATTTATCTCTATAGAGGTGTTAGCAGTTTTGAGTATATAAAACTTTTCATATAATATATGCGGGTTATATCAAAAACACGTTCGAATGCAATTTAATTATCTGATATTTCTGTGACTTATGATCTCAACAGACTTCATTTTATTTGTGACATTAATCCTCTTATATTTTCATCCGTCGCTTGTAGATTTTTTTATACTTATAATAAAAATTACTTATAAATTTTAACGAATTATGATCATTCGATTGTATCGATATTTATTTATTTGTTTAATGTTAGTCCATTATAATCTCAGTGTCTATATTTAAAACGCACAAAAACTTAAAATGCAGCAATTATCATAAGCTAATTCATTATTCATATAAAATATTCAATATAACAATTTTAAACCAGGTCTTTCAAGGAAAATAGGTGAGTATAAGCAAATCATGATTTTATTCTGTGACAGGTATATTTAGAAAAACAGTTTTATACGACACTATGTGTGACAAACGGGAAAAATTGCATAGTGATGTTTACGAAATACTCACGAATGCCACTTCGGGAGGCGAGAGATCCATTATGATGTATATAACAAAGAGGAATGATCATAGAAATGAGAAATATAAAGTGAAATCGAAAAAAAGACATAGTAAAGTATATAATAAGTGCGTCTCCTGGAGTGGGAATGATATTAAAAATATTAACGTTACGTCAATAGTAATAAATTCTTCGTTCAAGATATCTAAAAACGCTCGAATGATTGTAGCGATCACGAACGGCAATGATGACATCAGGGTTGACAGATTATTGAAAATTACCATATTAAATGAAAAAGTGTATTTAAATGAAATGTCATATTTTAACAGCGCTAAATAAAATATATATCAATTCCTTTTCAATATTATTTCCCCTTTATACATTGAGTTGTTCGTTTATTTTTTATAGTAGTCCATACATTGATTAAATTATAGATTGATCATTATATCACAATAATTGTATGATATATATTATATTAATAATCATGTTTTTTAAATATCGGCATAATAAAGTATAATACAATAAATTACAATAAAGAACCAATATTGACGCATTTAAACATTTTGAACAACTGTATAACTAACATTTAACACTATATACATAAAAAAATTCTATTCATATAACAAATAAGAGGTGATACAACTAAGTTCGATTCAATCTAATCCAGGTATTCGTTGTGAAACTCAATGCGAAGCGGGGCAGTACGGTGTGCAGTGCGGCGAGAAGTGTCCTTGCGCGAACAACTCGTCGTGTGACGCGGACAGCGGACGGTGTGAATGCGCCCCGGGGTGGAGGGGGGAGCGATGTGATATGCCTTGCGAGCCTGGAACGTACGGCGCCGCGTGTAAACAAGTGTGTCCACATCATCCTTTAGGTGAACACCCTGTATATATATTTCATACTAGCTGCGCCCTTCAGATTTCCAGGATGTAAAGTAGCCTATGTACTATTCCTGGACGTCAACTTCCTGTATACAAAATTTTATCAAAATCATTTCAGCCGTTTGAACGTGAAGAAGCAACAAACATACACACACACTCACAAACTTTCGCAATTATAATATTAGTAGGATACTATAGGACTTAAAGTATATCTTTATGTAAAATACTTAGTGAACATACCTTTATACAAACATACTTACGCACAAAAACCACAGCGTTATTTGCGTCATTAACTAAATTAACTACACAATAATTTATTTACCAAAGTAATTATGAATCGATATTATATATCGTCGAGTTATTTGAAGTTTTTTTGGCATTACAGTTCTCTTTAAAACTCCATAAATAATGTTGAACAATTGTTACTAAGCGAATAATGTAGTATTCGGTAATCGTTTGCTTTACACATTGTTTATGAAAACAAACATCCACAACAATGAAATATTAACAGTCAAGCAAGGAATGTTTACTAAAACATGTTATTCAATTCTATACAAATTGAGAAAAAATGATTTGCAAAAACAGTTATAAACTCTAATCTGCATTAACTCAGAAAATCTACTGGACATTTAAAAAAAAGTATATTTTAATATATTTTAGATCGAATTACAATTAATTTCGAAAATAGAAGTGAATTAAAATGTCATATAATTTTAAGGGGCTTTCTTTGTTCGAAGTGAATTAATATTTATTATCTGTGCTCTTGTTATAATATGTATAATCTGTTTAATTTCAGGTAATGTGACGTGTAACCCAGTCACGGGCGAGTACAGCTGCGCAAGCGGGTACACGGGCGTGTCTTGTGAATATCCTTGTCCACTTGGCACATACGGCGAGGGATGTCAACAGAAATGCAACTGTAAGAACGGAGCGGACTGCCATCATGTTACCGGTATGATTTACATTGGAATACACCAGTATTAGGTTAAAGGGATATTTTAATAGTATTATAAATAAGAAGAAATTGTACGTGGAATCCAACAAGCGAAAGAAGTGAAACTTTGTATTGTTAGAATGAAAACAGGAAGGGGTCTACCCCTTCATTCTAACAATAAAAAGAAACAGTAAAATTTCCTAATAATTAACTTTTTTAAAGTTTATTAACATTATTATCATTATTTACTAGTCATAATTGATTGCATACATGCTTTCGAATGCCACGCATTCCCTCTCGTTCTGTCTCTTTTTATCCTGCCCCTCTCCTGAGGGGGTTTTTAAACAAGGTTTAACACTCCTGTGTTAAACCTTGTTTAAAAACTTTAACTTCAAAAATATACAATGAAAACTACTTATACTCAACTAACAAATTTGATCTTATCAAGGAAACAATATTCAGATACAGCTAAAGCTATCGTCGAAACAAATCACTAATCATTATATATTATCCAACTACCCTCTTCACATATATCAAAAACATTTTCTTTTGTCTTATATCCATTTATATACAATGTTAATATATTATAATATATATCGTTAGGTGAGTGCCAATGCCTGCCTGGTTGGCGCGGCTCCCTATGTGGCGAGGCGTGTCCCACTGGCTGGTGGGGCGCGGGCTGTTCCCAGCCGTGCCGCTGCGCTCGTGGCGCCGCCTGCCGACCAAACGACGGATACTGCAGGTGTCCACCAGGATACACAGGCAACTATTGTACACAGTGTGAGTATATTTATATTACTAGCTGACCCGGTGAACATTGTTTTGTAATCATAAATAGGGGTTGGTGGAAAAAAATATTTAGGGTTGTATGTATTTTTAATGTTACATTATAAAAAAAAATACAAGCAAAAAATTTGGTAATAAAAAAACATTAGGGGTGAACAAACTTTCTGATTTGGGGTTATGAACAATAGATATTGATCAATTCTCAAACCTTTTCAATATGCTCACAAAATTTCATAAGAATCGGTCAAGCCGTTACTGAGGAGTACGGGAACGAACATTGTGACACGAGAATTTTATATATAAGATATAGGTTTTAGTGATATTTTTGGTCATTGCATGGTCTTATAAGGATATCGTGGATTGTATTATTTCACTTAAATGAAAAAGGACAGTTTCTTGATGATATTGAGCAACTTAAGTTTCATACTGTTTGATATTGAGATGCATATAATTTTAGTTCACACCTTTAATAAAGATTTTTTTTGTAAATTGACCAGTTTCTATTGAAAACTATCGTTTTGAGGGCCATAAATATTATTTTTTTTCTAACGTTAAACCATAATATCTGTTTTAAATATACAAATTGACTGACTGACTGTAATGCAGCATATTGGAAATGAATATGCACATTAATCAATATGTAAAATTACTAGAACTTCATTTGGAGGTGTTCACAAAAATCTTAAAGAAGTAATATTAATATGGATCTATAATAACAATTAATGTTGGTCCGTATGGTTTATAAAACAACATGAATTATTATCATTATAGGTATGTATATACATTATAATGTAGTATTTGACACACAGTTTACTGTTATATTTATTATACTTTTAAACTCACACTGTGAACAAATACTCTATGCAGTGTGAGTTGAAATTAATGAATAATATATCTAATAGAAGTTATATTAATAATATTAAAAATATTGGTCTATAATATAGTTTTTATCCCACAGTTTGTCCCGAGGGTTACTTCGGTGATCATTGTATGGAGGCATGTAACTGTTCGTCTCAAGGCAACTGGGTGTGTGAACCGGTCAGAGGCTGTGTGTGTCATCGCGGCTTCGTCGGAGAGAACTGTGACTTGCGAGCAAGCGACGCCATAGTTATAGATCAAGCTAGAGGTCATTATGTTATTTATTTGTTATATTATGAACTAGACTTTTCCCTTACCGTTTTCTGCTATTTCCTTATGCTCTTTCCTCGCTGTTCCTCAATAATAATCAAGGTTGGCAACGCAACATCTATGTTGTGGATGTCTATGTGAGACAGTTAGTACTACCTATCAAGTAGGCGACCTTTCTCATTAAAAATTAAATTATAATATTAATATGACATTAATAGGATTAGAGCATTATTAAAACAAATACCGATAAAAAATGTATACTATACCCGGAATGTGGAAAAGAATAAATTTGTACAACCAAGATAAAAAATTATTATGGAGAAAGATTGTCAGCATACATAGTACCTAAAGTATTAAAATAAAATTGATATATTAAGAAAAAATGATAAAATAAGTAAATAAATGTTAAAAACAAAACTTAGGGACTTGTTTCTCAATGACTTAAAATATTATAAAACTTATACATAGTGTTGATTTACTTTTAGTTTTTAAGACTATGTTGTTATATTTTTATTTCCTTAATTTTTTGTGAACCATTATTTTTATTTTTGTATTTGTTAAACAAAATGAGCGTTTCTCACCGTCAAGCCTAATAGTTTAGTGAGAACAAAAAAATTGTAAACCATTGTAATTACTAAGAAACAAATAAATTAAAAAAAAATTATAATATATTCCAGGTAGTTCAAACGCCGGTTTAACAGCTGTTATGTTGGTAGCGGTGATTGCATGCGGAGCCGCTGCCGTACTAGTGCTCCTCTACTATAGACGTAGGGTGCGCTCGCTCAAACGAGAGATAGCTCACGTTCATTACACCGCCGACCCTAACACGCAGCCGGGTAAGTTATATAAATATAGTTATAATCGACTTATTCATAGTTACCCGTGAATTGTTCATAATTACCCTCGTGTAGATGATAGTTCTTTTTGATTTATTTGGTGTTACCCTCGTATTAATTATATATCGACGGTCGGGAGCCAAATGAGGCTAACCGCCAATATGCAAACTTTACAGGAGAGAGGTTTAAAGTTCAAAAAAAAAATAATTAAAAAATCATAAAAAAAATCTGCTTGATCAACAGGCTTAAAAATTTTGTCACATAGCTTTTAAATGTGTCTCCTAAAAATGGCATTTTTAATTAACTTGAAACTCAACGCGTTCTTTAGTTACCGGTCGGTATCCTCAAAAGTTTCTGATTTAGAAACAGCCAAAACGTCCTAAGTCAAATTACTTTTGATTTCACTACAGGTCAAAAAGATCTAAATGCATATTAATTATTCTGCAAACGCAAGAAAAAAGCGTGTTAATAATATTTTAGTACACATGAAGTGAGGTCAATATAGCATAAGTGATTATTCATTAAGAATAGGTGACAAGAAAATTGTGCTAAGTCAAAAATCTGTTAAATAATTAGTAAGCATTTTGAAACAATTAAAATCATTGCGAAAAAGTTTCAAAAGTGAACTACCTAATTAATAAATAAATAGAATACAATAGAATAATAATAGAATAGAAATACAACAAATTTTTGGCAAATAATCTTGTATTAGAAACAAAACAATCATATAACACTTTATGGAAATATGGCGACTTAAAGCATGACAATCACTGAAATGCTTAGATATTATTATTATATAATTATCAACCTTAGTTAAAATGTAGAACTCTTAAAACTTTGAGCACGAACTACAATCACAAAAATATTCATTTTTATGTAATAGTTATTAGCTTACAATCACAGAAATATTTATTTTTATTAAATAATTGTAATTAGGTGTTAATACCCTAAAATTATACATTTTTGTTTAGGTAATAATTCAACTTAAAATTATAAATTTTAATATTTTGATATATGTAATTTAATATCGGATAAGGGACCTAAATGTATTAAATGCATAATTATTTTTTTAAAGAAATTGAACAAACGTCATAACCATAAGTTTTGACAAATAATGATGCAAGCTCAAATTAACTAACTATTTTTTTTGAAATAAGTGTTTCCAGCCAAAACAAGCCAACGTTCAGGTAATAATTTTCTATTGAAAGCCAAAACAGCACATTTTGTTCAACTAGCGTAATTAACAAAAACATCGAAAAATCTGTTGTGTAGGACGAAAGACACAAGGAAAATAAAAAAAAAATTAATTGACTAACCGCCAAAAAGTTCGCCTTAGAGCGATGAAACTTAGATCAAACGACGCTGAAAAAAAAGCTGATTTCAACCATATATATAAGTCATTTTCGCCTAAAATGTCGGTTATCCCCTTTTGGCCGTAAACCATCGATATTAAATGGGTTGTTCATATTTACCCTAATATTGATTATATTTACAATAACAGTTACTTTATAAGATAAAATAAGTATTCCTAAGCATATGTTAGTCTAGTGCATTAAAGTTCATATTGTAGTATTGAAATTTTATTTATATATATTTTTTTCCAGATCAACAACACTTCGACAACCCGGTGTACTCGTTCCAGAATTCAACACGTAGCGACGATTCAACGACATTATTGAACAACACAACAATATTCAACAATCTGGAAAATAGTACCAAAATAAGTAACGCGGCGTTAGAGAAACTGAGAATGACAGCTACTAGCTCTAATGGAAGTAAGACATAAATATGTTAATAACTTATTAATAATATATATACGGTATACATATATTAAATTGAAATAAATCGCACTTGATTTTATAAGCTCCTTAAATCTGTTAACTATTTTCTATTATATCGTAAGAAATAATCCAAAACTACTTAGTTTAAAAATAGATTTAGTTTTGTAGAATTTTATAAAATTTATAAAATTTTCATATTAATTTCCTGTAGTACAACTGTTATGGTTACTTCTAAATCATTATGTATTTCTAAATCATTATAACAGTTCCAGAGCTTATTCTGTTTCAATTTTGAGTTATTAAGAACAAATATAATACTATCACATATACATATATGTATTTGTTATATAATTAACATTTACAATAATTTTGTATTATATTTGATAACTTTCATTTCCAGCTTACGATCCCTTATCGTCTATAAAGAACAAGGACGCTGATCTGACCAATCCGAATTTGTATCATTGTATCGAAGACGACAATAAACTAGATCACGTGTATGACGAGATTAAACATAAGGAAGGATACGGTATGTAAATCCCTACTAATATTATAAATACGAAAGTAACTCTGTCTGTCTGTTACGCTTTCACGCCTAAACCACTGGACTGATTTTTATGAAATTTGGTGCAGAGATAGAGTTGACCTTGAGAAAGAACATAGGATAGTTTTTATCCCAGACTTTTGAAAGGTTCTCTTGGAAACGCGATATAACCGAACTCCACGCGGGCGAAGCTGCGGGCGGAAAGCTAGTATATGTATAATATAGCTGTATTAAATAGTTTCTTAATAATATTAATTATTTCAGAAATGGAGTACGACCATCTGAATTATACCCCTCCTGCAAATACATGGAAGCCTCACTACGTTCGTATGAATGGTTCTGTAGGCGGTGGTCAAGTTTCAACTCCCCCTATACCGCCGCTACCGAAACTTCATACTGCTGTTAATATAGTCCCGGGCCCCCAAATACAAGGCTCCTTGGAGCCCGAGGAGCCTTCAGTACTAAGCGACGAGGCCCCTCCCCCACCTCCTACAAGAGAGGAGCCTCACGAACAACCTCGATAGATAATAGCTTAGAATGTTCTAGAATGTTCGTTGCTAATGTTGAAAATTAGACAAGTATACTAAATATCACTTGAAACATTAGCACCTTAACATGTGATGGAAAGTCGGTAGTTGACCGGTTGAATTATTAATAGTACTAAAATTGTTCGCGACGTTGGCAATAAAAATTGATAATAATATTTTTTGATGATATATTGGCGATAAATGTATTTTTGGTACGTAATTTTTTGAATCCCGTGTCAGTGGTTGTTATACACATGAGATCTCTGTCTTAATGGTATTTTAAAAGTTATTATAATTTTAAGATATTTCTCATTGTTGAGATTCATTTGGATGTACAAATGGTTCGAATAACTTTTAAACTTTTATAACTAGACAGTGTTTATTCATATATACGTGTATTGTGTTTAAGGTGAAATGTTTGGAAATATTACGTTAATTTTATAAGTATTATTTAATTTCAAAAGTAATTAGGTTTATTAGTCTTATAATAAAATTTAGCAACTGACAATTTTATATAAAATAGGTTAGAATCTATAAAGTGTGAACATAAGACAATTCTTTGAATCAAAAAATGTTTCATAAATTTCAAATTCAAGAACTAAATCCTTCATAAAATGAACTAAGTAGTATAGTTATTTTACTGTAATGTATTACTCATGTACCATACACTTATTTTGTACAAATAACTTGCCCTTTTTGTTATTAAATATATATTTTTTGTATTATTATTTGATCCAGAGTTTAATATTTGAGTATTTTATTATGAGTGGACGCAATCAAGTTACATTCCAAAATACGAATGTTCAGTGTTCAGTTATAGTTGTTCATAGCGAATATTTTTAAAACAATATTTTTGGATTTTAAGTGTTTTGTAATGTATAGATTCTATAAGTTTTTTATAACTCTAAACAATTTCTTAACTTTTAAGTGTATCATTTTAAATCATTTTATTTTATTTATATATATGAGTCATCTGATATTTAAATAATTTGTATATTTCATAAGAAAAATATTCGTTTTTAAAAATAGATATCAATTGTAAATTTATTCATATTATAAATTATTTAATATAATTTTATTAATGTCAATATTAGGAACTGGTTTCGTATATACGTATTAATTGTATAACAATTTTTATTACAAGTGAAATATAAATATTTTAATGTCAATATATTATAGGATATTATAAAATCATTAAGTTTCATATGAGGGAGGCCTATTTTTAAATGTTGAGTGAATTTGCTCAATGTATGTGCCAAAAATATAATCTCAATTATACAGATATATTATACGATAATAACAAAACGCTTATGATTGTTATATCAATTGAAATTTATTCTAAATTTGATCATATACAATTTTTATTCGGCATAGAAATGTATTTTTTTATTGTATCAGATATAAAGTTGTTAAAGAAATTTGATACCTAATTGAAGAATAGTAAGATTCTTTTATGACAAATGTTTTATATTTTTTTTACTAATCAATTTTCTCATACGGCAGCTTAACAAGTTAACAACATCTTTCATTTATAAAAAATCTATTTAAATATACATTTTTAATAAATATGTTCAGTTTGATGTGTTATGTACATGAATGAAATAAATTAATATTCACAAATGGTATTAAAAAAGCAATAATTAGTTGTACTCTAGAAGTCTTTACTTTGTAAATAGTGTATGAAGAAAGCCTTGCAAATTTATCATCTGTTAATAAAATGTTACCTCGACCTTGGCTCATTATAATAGACTTGTAGATATTAGACATCGGCTGTATAATCTACACCTTCGGTTGTTACGTCATTAATAAAGTAGAATAAAATCTTAATTCTTATGAAAATTTACACACATCTTTCATATTGTATTAAGCTTTAATGTGTTCGTCACACTTAATAAAAATTATACATTATCACAGCAGCGTCGTCTGAACTTTGCTGTTTGTTCGTTTGTGATATAAAAGTTTTGTATGTATAATAAATTTAATGATAATCAAAGATGTTTTATTTTATACCCCATCGTACTACTTACGCAGAAAGTTTCTTTTATTTATATTATAATATTTACCGTATCCAATGGGGCTATTTGAAATGATTGAATAACTTTCCATCGTATAAATAATATTGTAACAGGTGCGCTATAGACGAGCGTTTTAAACGCGTGTACAAAACAAACATACGTTAAAGTTATTGATAAAATTAAACTAATATACTCAAACGTTATTCTGTTATTAAAGGTTGTCAGTTTTATATACCTTTTTCTATATCATTATGAAACAAGCACCAATATATATTTTTTCACTTCTCTTCATACAAGTAAGTGTACTGTGATTTTTTTTAAATAAAAACGTTTTCTGTGCATTGTTTTTAGTATGTTCGTGTTTAAATACACATATGATGAACAAAATCTTTGCGAAATTCTAGATTTGTCAACCTTTAAGTTATTTAATAAAATTGTAGAAAGTAGTTATTCCTAACAAATTTTGTGCCTTTTAGGCCTCAGCTTCATTTTTCGACGAATTTCGAGGGGCGATGTCCAATGTGGAGCGTGGCTTCGGCAAATTGCTTAATGATGTTGTGATAGACGTCAAAGATACTTTACATTGTACCATATCAGCAGTTGAAGAGGTTCTTGCATTGAATGGACTCCTGGACGAGAAATCAGATTATAACTATCGATGTCGTGGTGTTTCTCAAGCATATTTACCAAACGTACCGGATCATAGAAATCGAGCTTTCTTTGAAGAACGCTTGCAATTTAATCAGCCAAACCTACAACCACCAGAATACACACTAGAACACATATCCCAGGAGCTAGAAAATTCGATTAATAACGTTAATAAATCTATCAACGACATTTTGGGTAGACGTGAAGGGAATGGCAATTTCAATTCTATGTCGGAACTACTTAAAGATGAGACAGAACGTTTGAATGAAGTGAGTGACTTATTAAGGCGGGAACTGGAAAATATTTCAGCTAATGTGAGGAATGAAATAGAGAAACAACATATGAATTATAAAAAGAATCCTAGAGATACGATCTGGGATGATCTTAATGTTTTACATGATATGAAGGAGAAAAGTAAAAACGAAACTGAAATTAATGAAATCAATCACATAATAGACAGAGTTGTGGACGAACTTCATGTGACATCGAACCAGAAAGAACTTTCAGAAGCAGAGAAACTAGAAGAAATAAGGAAGAAATTAAATAAGTATGCAGAGGGGAACCAAAATAATGCCAACAATGAAATCTCGGTGTGGAATACAAAAGAAATGACGCATAATAAAGACACGGACAAACAGATAGTGGCGTTTAAAGATTTTGCACAAAAAACACTAGAGAAAAACGACATGCAACGAGTCGATAATAATATTGAAGATGTTTTAAAACAGGAGACAACCCAACATAATTCAGATAAACCTTTGTTTAATGCTTTTATGGTGACTGATAGTTCCAGCCCATTTTATGATCCTAATTCAAAAACTAATTCAAAAGAAATAGTAGATGATGCTAAAAAGATTTTAGAAGAAAGCATCGAATCGGAAAACCTTTTAAACAGTTTTTTCAATGAACAGAAATCATCTGGTGTCGACATGTTTAGTAACACGGGAATGTTCAACTTTGGTCCAAAATGAAAAAGTAAAAGATATAAAGGTAATATTAATAAAATAACAGTTTATCTTATAACAGTTTTATTAACAATATAAATAAATAAATTACAAATTTACTTTCCTACAATTGAGCTGCGCTACTCTACTGCGAGCAGTCCAATACCATTAATATTCTTTTTAAATATTATAATATAGGTACTCTAAAATTTCTAAGTACACGTTTTATTAATACCCTACATAGGGTCTATACTATGCACCAACACAGTACACTTTGATCTGGAATTCGTTCTTAATATAGGTTAAAAAGTAATCTTAACTACTTAATTAAATAAATTATTGTTTTCTTAATATTTTCACATTGCCATTAAGAATAATTAAAAAAAAATCTATGGGATTCGAGAAACTAAATAATGTCAAATATAATCTAGTTACTATTATGTTATTCTAAGTCCTCAACCTCATTAATTAATTTAATTTACAAGAAAATAAAAGAAATCACTTGATCGCTTTCAAATTGTTATGTATTTTTTTCTAATTTTCAGATTCCTTTCTGTTTCTATGCTAATTGGCGTTTCTCACATTCTCTCGATTACCTTTAATAATCCTATTTATATCAACATTTTGAAAGTATTGCATGTTTATTAAAACGAGAACATAAAATATTAAAAGCCATGTTAGCATTTCGAGTTCTTCATAGTACATGTTTTTATAAGTCGCCACGCTTTCATAAAATTGAGCAAAGGTCTCTTAAATTAAATTTTAATATTGTACTTATTATCATAAGGATCATTTTACGTATTTCATGAATGATTTCAATTAAACTATTATAAAACCGTTTATTATATAAAATCAATATTAATAAATCTATTCTTAATTTTAACTGGTTATGGATGACTTCGTAAAGTTTGAAGATCTAAAAATTTCTTATAAGTAATAAAATCGTTAATTAATATTATGTACATGTTCTATTCTACGACAAGAAGAAGAGTTTAGAAGAATTGAAGAGATTCTAATTGAAGTAATTTTAAGATATTCTATAAGGGAAATTTTTATAGGATTTTTTAAAGACTTAACGTATAACAAACACAGAAGTGTTGCTATTATTTAATAAGGGAGAGGGGCAAAAATATTTTACTTCAAATTATTAAAAATGATTTTAAAACAGAAATATTGAGAAGGTATTTTTTTATACCTACAGCCAATATATATAATTTATTATTTTAGTTTTGCTATAACATTTAATAGACTACTTAACTATTTAAAATAAATCGTGTTTTACTTAAAAAATATATATGGCAGGTAATCGAAGGATATTAGTTACGTAACCGATAATATTATTTTTTTATTATTATATGTTTATTTAGTTTACTACGGAGGGCGCGTAATGAAGAGAAAGAAAATGAAAAACTTATATCTAACACAACTTTATAGGTTTTCAAATTTTTAAACAAATTTTATCAAAACCAATACTTCGTTATTTGATCAAAAATTTCTAGAATCAAAGGTATGCTTACCAGAATGTTGCATACATATGTACGTACGGGAGCGTTTATCGTTATTAATTCCTTAATCGTCGCAAATTATAGTATGACCTAAGAGTGGTATTGGAAAACGCTTCATATGTAGTGTGTCTATAGAAACTTGTTGTAAGAATTATACAGACAACATTTATAAACAAAACAATTTGATCCCCTCCCAATATCAACACTAATGTATTGCATCACTGCTATTAAATAAGTTATTGTTTCAATATTACTCTATAACTATAATCGCTACTAGTTGTAAGCTATCTACTGGTTTATTGAACACAGACAACATTTATTTGGTGGTTTCACATTCATTTGTAACTTCATATCTAGTTATTATTATAAATACAATATTCATTATAATGTCGCTATATTTATTTTACACATGACCTATTATAACAATTTAACATAGTTTAATACAATTATAACATTTTAATATAATATTAAGATGTGAAGCACCTACGTAAAACATAATTTGACTTCGATACAGTGATACGTGCAAAATAAAAAAAAGTGAGAAATGATCCAAAAAAATATTGAATCATTGTAAATTAATGTAAGAATTTCAGCAAATAATACATAAGTTTATTTAAAAAAAAAAATAACGATGAAATGCGTTCGAGCTATGATATAGGTTAAGAATGGAAAGTACTGCGTTTTAAACAAGACGGACATGAAGTTAACGCTGAAGAAGACTTGAATTAGTGCACCCCCTTTTTGCGGAGTGACTCGCGCCAACTTCACGTCTGTCTTATTAACAGTAGGTGTCGTGGAATAGAACACGTGCGGCGGGACGGGCGTGCGGTGGTCCAGCGAACTACCGTTCACTTTAGCACTGTAATTTGTTTGTTCTGACAATAATTATATTTACTGCTCGGTAAGATCATACAATGATGAATCAGGTTATATTTCCTCCTATCTGAAATCCTTATCCAATAATAACTTATAACAAAACGTTGTATATGTTGAAAGTAAGTTTAAACAAATAATCTCCGAACACCATTTGATAGGCACATCGAATATTCAAAAATATAATCACAAACAAATTACAGTATAATATTATTTAATTACGATGGTGGCGGACACCTGACTAGGGACGACGTGGCTATTTGATTGAAATGTTTATCAATGGGCACTCTGTCATCATACAACGTGGGCGCTTGAAGAATAATGCCAGCGGTTCCAACTAAAACCGCCAATGTAAATATCCATAAGAATAAACGATCGAGCACCATCGCAACGTATTTCCAATCTTCTTTAACCTGAAAATCACAACTGGAATTGATCGTCTTTCGTTTTTGGCATGTCAGTGACAAATCGAGTTATCTTCAATAAACATACAACCCAAGCGAAGGTTTGGGCCCTTAAATTAAATTGTACGGTTTTCCCTAACTTAAATATAAGTGAAGGATTGTTTAAATATGTATCAATTGAAATTTATTTTATGTCAAACAATCATTTATAAAAATAAACTCTTGATATTTTTATTTTGTTAGTTATAACAACACAATGTTTTATTAACAAATAACATATTGATGCTTTAAGGTTCGATGATTTAATAAGAAATTACTTTTATATTATTATTTTCTTTTTTCTATATAAACAACGTTACTTCAACAAAAAAAAAAAAAAACAATTTTCTCATTTTCATTACCTAACCGCGTAAATAAGACCGCGTAAATAAGACCGCGTAAATAAGACCAAATTGAATATTTGATGTCGGCATTTATCAATTACATATAAAATTACTGTTTACTTCACCTAATAAACTCATTTTATGAATCTAAAAGCATGGATATTATAAACCTATTAAAGAGATAAATAAAGCGCTCGGGTACAATTTTCATAACGGCGTGGTTACTCAAATAAAAAGTGTTTATGTTTATTGAAGGATAAATTTATGCTAATAAATATACCCACTGAATTATAAAAGGTAATTTCTATAATAAAATAGGAAGACCTATAAAATTACGTCCTAAAACAAATCTAAATTATGGATAACTAGCTAGGCCCCGCGGTGTTACCCGCGGATTTCCGGGATATAAAGTAGCCTATGTGTTATTCCTGAACATCAGCTTCCAGTATACACAATTTTATCAAAATCGGTTCAGCCGTTTGAGCGTGAAGAAGTAACAAACATACACATACACTCACAAACTTTCGCAATTATAATATTAGTAGGATTTTAATGTACCTTAGTTGAGTCTTCCAACATCCTAGTATGTTCTGCTATGAATCTCACGCAGAAGCAGGTTCTATGTACTTCTGGGGGACAGGCAGAATGACTGAAGCCTGGCGGAGGATCTGGTACGGGACTTAGAGCCTCCTCCTCGGGAACTGGTAGGGCTCCGCCCTCGCTAGAACCGTGAACAACGCAGCTCCCACCAAAACGGTTACTTTCACTTAACCTATTTATTAAAAGAAAAGCATTTAATTTCCAAACAGCTATGAAGAAAACAAAAAATAGATTAAATAGATCTCTTTAAGATTATTTGGAATGCAATAAGAATTTATATTGCAATAATATATTTTTTACGACTTCATAAGAACATTTTTCTCGCAATGAAAAACGGTTAGATCCATTAGCTTTTATCAAATCAGACTATAAAAGGCTTAAGCTCTGGGGCTTCAAGACAAAGGGTAGAGCTTAAAGTAGGGAGTTAATTAGGACCTTTCATCGTGTATTTTAACGTAGGCTATTAAATATTAAAAAAAATGTATAATAAGCAAAAATGCACGCGATATTTAAAATTCAGATTGATCTATATAATCCTTAGTTCACGGTTTTATTTATTAAAACAACATATTACAAAAATATCAAGTTCGTTACACGATCTATTAAAAAGTTAAATTATATAAAAATATTATTTAATTTATGGAAGATACAGACAGAGGTAACAAAAGTTTTTAAAGTAGGTAATATTGATATTTCTCACATTAGGTCATTCGTTTTGTCTCACAATTTAGGAAGGTTGTTATTTCTGAAGGGTTAATGAAATGAATTTTTTGTTATACCTCTGTATACGAAGGTACCTTTATGTTTAAACCCGAGTAGGAAGGGGTCTTAACCATTTTAACAATTTAAAAATGTTACCGATTCGGTACACTAATAGTAGAAATATTCAAAACTGTTAAGACCGCAATTATGTATATAAGGGTCTTTACTCAAATCTATCAGAAAGATATCAAAGTCAGATATTTCTAAAGTCATTTGAAATAATATGCTATATTAAATATTTATTTATTCAAAAGTAGAGTCATGAAATCTTTATACAAAGTACACAAAGATAAGTTAAAATAACAAAAAAACATGTTAAGCTTGCTGAAATGAAATATATATAACATTATAATATATAAATTTCTGTACACTAATGTTTGAAACATTACTACTTAAATATCTATGTAAAATTTTATATTTAAAAAAATCTATAACATCTAAATATGAATTTACTAATAAAGACTTACAAACAAAAACAAAATTTGTTTTTTTGATGTCTTTGATGACCATAATTGAATCAAAGCCTCACCCAGATTGCACGTATGTGGTATGTGTTAAGTCCTCCTTGCTGGGTGTACGAGTGAGAGGTCTGGCGGGAACAGCAGGAGGTGGCCAAGCCCCAGGAGCACAGCAGTCATCATCTGCAGAGGCTAGACGATACGGATATAAAGGTCTGGCCGCGCCCCCACAACGAACTACCACTCCGCATGTTGTGAAACGAGACCTGTTATAATATTTATCAAATAACACATATCTTGTAATGTTAACGTATTATTTTATGTCTTATGAATTTTTAAGTCTATAACTAACAAGTAATACATACATTGATGGCATATAAATACTTTTATCATTCAAGAACAGTTCAGTAATCATATACAAATTCTTATGTAAAAAATTGCTTTACTTTTACTGCGTTGTATAGTCATATTTCTTGTGTTTCGTTTAATTTCCAATCATTTATTTCTTCACATTAATACATAGTATGACAACAAATATTAATGTTCATTATACATTAATGATACTCTACTTTTTACACAATATCACTTCATAAAATAAACCGCTCGTCACCAAATAAACAGAAAATCTCTCGAGTTCATACAATTATTCATATCGTAGGGTATGTTTGTATCTATCATAACAACAATAGATTGGTTATGTAGGCCCTTGAATATTTTAAGAAGCTGTATTCAAAGCTGAAGTCGTTTGCATAACGATCCGTGGCCACAGTGAGACGGGCCTGTCTACTGTCCTCATTATAATAGATCATCCGCAAATTGAATTACAATCGCCCGTTATATTGACTCGGTCAGCGGTAGACGGTCATGCTATGCTTTCAAGTTTATTTCATTTAAATAAATGTTTGTATATATTTATTAAGAAATATGGATTTTATGTAAATGTTCATGCTTATTCAATGAAGTTTATAGAAAAAATACTATTCATTACCATGTTTATAGTGTTTAGTTAAAAACTAAGTTATTGTGTGTAATTTTGTTTCATAATCGGATTAAAGAAAATTTCTATATGCTCCAACAAATTCTTCTCATTTGAGGGAAATATACATAATAATTTCATGTGAAATATTATTTAATTATTTCTTTTAAGTTTGTTCTTGATATTTGAGTATTCGGAAATGCTAATTATGGTAGGATTCCAGAATATTTTTTGTTAGTATGTATATAAAATATTTACAATCTGTCCATAATATTCCACGGCATATTTTATAGCAAAATATCACAAAAGAACTAACAGAGCATTATCTTTCAGAGCTATTTTTACAAAGAACTGCTTTTTACTCTAGCATTTGCTAAAAAATTCTCTAGAATATAACAATTTGAACGGCATTTTTGATATAAAAGGAATGGGGTGTAGTTTGAAAGAAATATATTTCCAATTTCGTTTACGGATTTATTGTTGGTATATTTTATATTAAATACGTGTCTGTCAATGTGTTGTCCGTTTCGTGGTAAATCATTACAAAAGATCTTACAAATCATCTCTTGTGGCTATTGTGAGTATTGAATAATATTTTTTTTGAACAAATTAAATTCATGGACTTATAATTTGAGATATTTAACTACATTGAGAATACGTCAAATTGATTTTATAGGGATTAAATTTTTCTAATACACAGATAAATAATAATGCAGAAAATATTGACAAAAAACACAGATTTGAAATAGCAGAGAAAAATATAAGAAAACGTTTAGTCAGTGCAGATATATGTAATATAGTTGTTTTATTTTTTATAACCCACCTTGTTGTATCGAATTTGTACTGCGGTCGTTTCATGAACAACAGTCTGGGCAGGATGTGTATGAAGACTCGTTTAACCCACGGCGCCATTCGGTGTGTCTGGGGCGAGCGGAAGTGTACGTTCAATACCACCACCGTCACACATATGCTGCATTAAATAATTTACATTTACCATCGTATTATACATAGAATTTATATGATTGTATTCCAAATATATTTCGATGAAAATCCTCACTACATTGCAAAGTTGGACTCTAAACTCATGGATTGGCAAGCGTTTATGTTTACAACTTCATAAAATCTTGAAATATTGTCGTTACCTCAAGTTTCTTTTTATTTTTAACTCAAAAGTAAAGTATTTTCGAGGTTCTTACACAATAAAATAAAATACAATTGATCTCTCAAGACGACGCATTGATATTCTATTGACATCAAAAGTAGTGAATTTGATTGTAATACTTGAACCCATTATTACGTCGTGACCTCGTTACAGACTATTCTGAACGCCATTGGATACAAATTGTATTATTGGATTTATCAAGACCGGCTATTCTCGGAATATAAAAATGGAAAGCATACTATTCGTCCCCTGTATACTTTATCTGTTTAGTTTTGACAGGTATTGTGTGAGGTAGGTCCCTTTATTTTCTTATTTATTTATCTTCGTACTATTCGTTATGCCAAAAAAGATTTTTCAATTTAAATTATGACATATTTTATAGCAAATTACTGGACGGCAAATAGTTCCATAAAAGTAAATTATGGCTTGATATTCAAATAATAACGAAGTACTATTTAAGTACTTCGGAGTTGGCAATGGTTTGGGCATAAAAAATACACCTCCAATATTTTCGTTACTCTACCGATATCAGTTCGTTTTGAGTGTAAATTAGACAATGTCCACCCTTTACGCAATTACTGATCTGATGCAGGTATAGCGTTACAAAGCCTATCAGGTACTAATGGAATGGTTTCATCACCATTAAATCGCTGATATTTTTAGAATATCTCACTCATTAAGTGCTTGGAGTTGCTGAATATTTGAGTAGTAGTATATGGTATGGAAAGTTATTTAATGTATGTTGAAATCTTAAAATTTCAATATGATATTTGGACAGATCCTGAAGATCAAGATAAGGTGATTTATTTTTTCTTTACTGTTTAACTTAACTATTGACGACATAAAAAAAAATTATTGCTAATATACCGTAGTTACCATAGCTGACATCTTATACGCTGCGGAGCATCTAATAATTTATTTAAAATTAATATTTTATGAATATTCATACCATTCCGAGGCCAAAACCATCAATGCAAGGTATGGTATAAGCCCATCTAAATTGAAGCAGTTAATCAAGATATATAGCCCTAATCCTGCGGGCGGTAAGGATAAAATTATATTGGTACGACCAAAGTCCCTGAGTACGAAGTTTATTTATTTATCTTTGCAGTAATTTCACTGATACTTTATATAATATATTACATTTTCTAGCTAATTTCTTTTGTGGAACCTTACGAAAAGTAACCCGAACTTATACTAAAAAGTCATTTTTCACTTTGAACTCCAACTCTTTATGGAGATTGTCAAAAAACTTCTAAAAGGGAGACTGACAATTTTCATTTTCTTTCAACATAAAGTTATGCAATCAAATATCTGGCAAAATGCCGAATTTTAATTTATATGGAAATTTCGTGGCTTGTTAGCCGATTCAGCCACAGGTATTTAAATAAAGTTTTGTACGAACACCGCCAAGTTTAATTATGTGCTAGTGAAAAAAATGTTTTGACGACATCTTTATTTACATTTTTAGTCTTTAGAAATTTTTGAATTTCAGTTCTTTCATTCAGACAGACTGTCATAGTTGTCAAAGTCAATTTATAGCTGAACATTTTGATTGATCTGATTTCTCTTGTGCTCTTTGTAAGTCAAGTAGGCACTTGCTGTTCACGAAAATTTACATACTTTGCCACTTCAGCCGTAAATCGACTCGTGAAATATTTGTAAAAGTTTTCTTTATAAAAAAAACTTCGGGGAATATTTATAATTTTTCACATGACTTAAACAACCAAGAATTTAGGAATGTAAAAACGTACCCTTATCACTGGATTTTAAGTTTAGTGATTAATTATTTATCGGGAAATATTATATGTTTACATTTATATCTGTTCGTAGCACTAGCACTAGCACTTGAAAATAAAAAAGTATGTCAAAATGGCGATTCTAGAACAAAATTATATGCATTTTCGATTTATATACGTTAAAGGTATATAATAATCATAAACTTTAATCCAATTAATTTTATTTCTAGCCATTTCCTATGTTAAATGTTAAGTAAAATCAAAGAGTCCGAAATAAACATTTTAAAATTAAAATCATTTGAATCATAGTAGATATAAAACATTTTATATTCTACAGATGTATTGGCGTGATTCGCCGCTTACGGTTTGACAACAACTGTCAATGTTTTAATCCCTGGAGCTTTTTAATTTCACAAAAGCATGAGGCTTATATGTCATTGTAGTCTGTGTGTAAATGGGAATATTGTTTATGTGACGGCTTTTGTTTGCGACCGTTTGCTTTATTAAATTGAACGATATTAACGAGATTTACAGCACACATTAATCCAAATTGTTTCAATTATAAACCTTATATTAAATAAATTGCAATAAAATTCTTACATCAGCAGTTTTGTATGTATCAGTAACTTTAAACGAATAACTATGTACTACTGCTATTGCTATTTTCGTATGACCATAACCAAGTTATTTTTATTTGGAGGTTTCTAGAAACCGGGTCAACATGCCATACTGACAACTTACAAAATGCTTACAAGCTCTGACATATGAAAACAAACTTCAATATTGTAAAGAAAATATTACATATTAGATTGTGCTCATGGCTTTCTTCACTTCGTTACTAAGTCGAAGTTATTAAGGAACTAACAAAATACCCTGAAAACTTTAGTATTTAAAATAAATTGCTACAAATATTATAATGATTATTACCTTATTGAAACCAGTATCATTGCGAAGATGAGATATTTTCCAAGAAGAGGTACTACCAGAGACGTTGGCGGTATGATGTCCACCACAAGAAGGAAGAACACGTGAAGACTGATAAGAATCGATATTGAGAGAGTGACCTGAAGATAAAGATATACTATTGAAATTCTTAAAACTATACTTAATATAAACTTGTATCAACAAACCAAAAAGCAATTTCGAGTTTATTTACCTTCACTGAACGAGTATATTATATAGTAGCATATAAAAATTGCTTTAAGATAAATATTCTTACTATTAACACTGCTCTTTAATAAATTACTTATAATGGGTTACAGGGCCGGTATTAACCAACGGCCTCGACCTAAACTTGGCTATCCGAGCACGTCTTCGATTGATTTCTTATCCTCTTGGCATATATTCCAGATCACTTATTTTAAGTGCTGAACGGTATTAATTTCAATACAATTAAATTTCCATTACCATGTGTTAAACTTAAAACAATTCTTTGAACAATTCTAACTTAAAAAGAGTTTAAATGGTATAGTTGAAAATAATCGTCTTTCATAGATAAAGAAAGGCGGTTCTCAGGCCAGTTCTCGTTTTTTTCTCGTTTGAGAGAGATAAGTGGCACAAACAAATGATCGTTCCTCTTTAAGTGTGGGTTATTTTATTCTTGCCGGATAAAAGAGCAATGTTCTACTGTTTTAATGTCAGTACATTAGTGATTCTAGCTGTAATACTAATATAGATATTGTAGTTTTAGTATAAATACCTTTTCGCCGCTGTCAGAAGGCAAGTAAAACGTAAGTATGGTAAGGAATGATATACCCATACAAGGTATGATAATATTGACTGTGTAGAACAGCGTCTTGCGTCTTAGTGTAATGTTGAACGTTATATCCAAGTAGGGCTCGTCGCAACACGTGTAAAACTTCTCGTTCCTGTAAATGTATTCATGAATTATAATATAAATAAATTTGTTCCATCTAAGAAAGAAATGTTTTTTTTTGTAAGTCACTTTTACAAGTGCTGTTAATATATTCTGTACGTGACAATATTCGGAGAATATTTTGAATTAATTTCGTACTGGCTTAAAGTAAAACGAAGGACATTTGTTTATGATTACAAATGTAATATTTAATATGTAATTATAAATAATAATGCTTAATAACTAAGTACGTGACATTTACATAAATTACTTTAAATTTTTCTGATGTTTTTGTTATTTATTATTTGTGTAATATAATGAGTAAAATTCTTACTAGAACTATAATATTTTTGGCTAAGGATATCTTTATATGAACATGTAACTGGTATTGGGTAATATTTTGTACCATTTATTACCCTATCTTATTTAGATGAAGGGATAGAGCAATTTCGTAAGTGGCGTCCTAAAAATATTCCGCCATAGAGACGTTACAAGAGAATATTCTACGACAATCTAAGGGCTATGAAGCGACCATGTAGGTTTTATATATGTCAAAAAAAACAAATGAGAAATATTTTTCTCAATTATATGTAGCTTAAGATTTATTTTAAATATAATATTTCGCATTTCAAAAGTTAAAGCAGCTAGGTATTGTGACAGTAATGCTTTATGTAAATTTTAAGTAGAAAAGCTTTGTTTTGTCTATTGTCTATGCTTTCCGTTATTTGAACTCGGTGAATAGTTTCGTTATATAAAACTTAAAACTATAAAATACTCTTTATACATTTGTCTATTTTGAAAATTTGTTTTATTTGAGTATAAACGTTTATTTAATTTTAAAAACTTATTTAAACTTACTCTGATTTCTAAATTTATTTATCTAGTTATTTTTTAGAAATTAATTAAAAACATATGTATGTATATCTATTACATTTAATATTTCCGAAGAGAACGAGATGGTTATATTTTTAAAATAAGCTTTACGATGTTCTTTTACATCATAAAAAATATTAATCTAACAAAATTTTCACGTAATAAGCAATAAAAAAACCCAGCTGTATACAAGTAAAAAATTTAACATTATTATGAATTTACATAGTATTATACAATATTAACTTTTACAGTAACGCCATTACGTAAAACAAAACTTAAGTCGCGGAACAAGAAACAACGAAACAGTCATACATTTCTGATATTGAGGAACATAAAGCCACAATTGAAGCGTATAACAATAATGTTCGAATTGAATGTTACCGCGCTTTATTTTTTCATTGTAATGAGATTTTTATACAACAGATCCGATAGCATCTTGGAAATATATCTAAGGCAGAGATTTTGCGATGTATAACTATTCAAAAGATACAAAAATATTTCTGTTTGAACCCTTAAGTTTAACAAGACAGGTAAGAGATTAACGAGTCTGGAAAAATAAGAATATAACATTATATTTCACATATAAATGTTTAAGTGTTTAAATATAGGCGTATAATAAGAAGCTTGAATGAATTAGGGAATCTAAGCTGTAGAGTTTATATGTGGAATATAAAAGGTTTGAATATAAAAGGTTTGAAAAGAACATTTTACACTGTCATTCAAAGCTTATCATGAACGGGAAAAAAGATGATAATAAAATTACATTATAGGACGATTAGATGACATGTAAAAGTCTTCGAATTCGTCATGTACGGATTTAACGAATATGACAATCCTAATACGGTTTATACTCAAACAAAAAGGCTGAGATGTCATCCCTACTAATATTATAAATGCGAAAGTAACTTTGTCTGTCTGTTACGCTTTCACGCCTAAACCACTGAACTGATTTTAATGAAATTTGAAAATGAAAAATGAAAAGCTAGTTTAATATAAGTTACCTTGGGTTTATTACAATGTAACAAATATATAATTTGATGTTTTTGTTAAATTACTTGTCGTCGCTAGCTTTTTGTTTCCAAGATTAGTTATATGTAAGAATTCAATAATTGCCTCGAATTAATCAAGTATGCTAAAATAAAAAAATCAAATAAAAGTAAATAAATAAAAAGAGTATTATATCAACAAGATATTAAATTGCAAAGTTAAACCATTCGCAACAAAGATATTGAACATTTTAAACAGCGTGGCGGCCGACAATTTGTAATATATTAAATAATTCTCAGCTTCTAACTTACGCTAACCTTCATTAATACTTTATCCATTTCTGTAATGTCTGTGATAATCTTGCTTTGTTTACGATCTGAATATACACAGCATTTTTTTTTTTATAATGAAAAATTGCTGACTCGAAAAATTTATTTACGAAAAAATTGCTGTTTTCATACCGGTTTTATTTAAACATAATATTTAGAAATAATATTACTGGCAATTTCCTAAGAGTATATTTATAAAATCCAATTAAACGTTAAAGTTGAAACTCAAACTTAGGGTTGGTTTTGCCTTTCGAATAAGACACTTGAGTCAATATTTGTATTTCGATTTTGGCATCAATACTTGAAATTTAAGCCTTGTTAACAATGTTTATGGCTTGATTTCTTGAACATAATTTTAAGCAAGGCTATTTTCATTTTATGAATGAGTTAAGGGATAATATTTCAATAGTGTTCTTTATTCGCCTATTTTGTTTCACAAAACTTTATAATTTTACAGATGTTAACAATAAATTTGGTAATACCTCGGAAAATCAATAGAAATTTCGAGGTTGTGTATACAATATTGTAATGCGTGTCAACACCAGAAATCTCTTTGTTAAACCCCCTAACAAGCATTTCTTTGTATGACATTGTTTTAAATTTCAAACTCATTATAATTGTAAGGATATTAAAACTTATAAATATATATATATTTTTTGCACTAATAAAGAATGGGCTAACTCTATTGTCATTGAAGGTTAATGTTTAAGAAGCTCACAAATTTCTTCGCTACGGTTTTAGACTTTAAGTATTAAATATTAGGAATAAGTAATTGCCACGATTTGTCAGTTCTGTTCTTACAATTTCATATTTATTCCCTAGCATTGTTACGAAAGCTACGAGTACCTAAAATAATGCAGTTGCTAATAATGCCCAACGTCGGAAGATATAGTATTCCATAAATAAATTGTCAAACTGTCACTATTTATTTGCTTTAAACATTAGTACAATTTCCCGCTGTTAAATTTAAACGCTTAAAGCGATGTTTAGACTGTTATACATAAACAGCTTTTTATTTCTTGGTTTTTGTAAGTGGAAAAATGGTAAAATTATAGAAATAATCTTATTTCTAAAAGTACTTGAGACATGCTTATCCCACATTGAGTGGTATGATTGTCCTTACAAAAGATGAACGCATTCGTGCTTTCTATTATTATTAAAACTCAATATTTTCTTTTAATTTATTACTTTGAGTTTTTATTTACTTTTCAGATGTAATCTACGTTAATTATCAGTTGATTCCAAAATCCGACACCTCGGTGCATTAACCAATTTATGTGTAACTAATAGTTCTGTATGATTTGTTTTAAATTACTCCATTTGTATATATAAGATATAGTAGATATCTATCACTATTTTGCAATACTAAGGTTGTCCAAATAACCGGTAAATTGAGATGATCTGAGCTTAATAACCATTACCTTAGTAGGTTTTATACACGACCTAATTCTAACAGTTTTATATCAGATAAAGTAAGTAGTTACATTATTTAACTGCTCTATGTAATTTAAAAGTTAGATGGCGTAAAACTATTGATACAAAATTATGATAAAATAACTATACTTTTTACATTACTAACTTTATGAAACCTTAAAAGCCGGCTTGGAAGCAGTTCTTAACTTATAGAGAAAATAAGAGCCCAATAAATTAGGTACCACAACTTTTTACTAAAGCAATAAGAGTTTTATGGTTGGTGCAAGCGTTATGATAAATTCTAACAACTTTATTTAAAGTTATGAAGAAAAGTATTACCATTTACACAAGATTAAAAGAGCTAGTCATAAACAAGAAAATTCTTTTATCTAGATGTGAAGTATTCGCTAACATTGTTGAAATTATAAAAGGTGTTCATAGAAAAGATAAAGATATGTTTCTCAATGTATCTTTTCCTTTATTTCGACTTACCTTACAGCTGGTACTTCTAAAATGTCCCATTCCACGGACATATAGAACTCAGATAGGTCAACTCCCATAGACACCACATTACTGCCAGCTTGCTCATCCATATGCCTCAAGTCCACCTGAAGACACTCTCACCTCGATATTATATGGCAATTATATATAATTTATTTAAATCTGGACAATATTTTCATTAATATTCTTCGATGAATTTAATAAAAGAGCAGAAAATAACAATTATATTTTTGTTTATAATTTATTCGGGACATACTAAATATAAAACGACGAGGCTAATAATTTATGCAAGACAAAATACACAATAATTAACACAGTTTATCATTAAAATGTTTATCATTTGCGTTTAATAAAACCATTAGTTAATATGTTTACGACGAGCAAAAACAGATTCATTGAAAACGTTATGATATGCATAAAATACGTAATAATTTGATCATTATAAAATATATGTATTATTCCTGTGACTATTTTTACTCAAACGTAAACAATTATTTATAAATTATGGCATGTATTTCATTTATTAAATGTTATATTACTTAATATGTTTGTTTTATTTAATTGATACATGTCCTGTCACACAATGTGAACCTAAGAATGCTGTTGTTGAACTATTGTAACGTCACTAAATATCCTTACCACATAGTGTGTCAAGTACCTGTATGAATCCCATGTTTATAATATGTTTTAAGAAGACACGAAACAACATTTTCTGAACATGCGATATTTAACGCGAAAACACAACACCTAGATCGTTTATGATGATTTCTGAATTTTCAACGAGTATCGACGGAGGCCTTCTTTAACTTTAAGTAATGAACGAAACCATTGTGGCTTCTCCATAGTCTGTAACTCGTGAAAACCTAGGATAACGGAAGCACCGGCTCCGCCGCGCGTGTGTGTGTCAGCGAGCGCGGCGCTTACAGCCTCCCAACAGAGCAATCCGCTCCTCTAGAACTACCACAAAACAAATCACGCGCTGCTAATCGGAGCGGCTTGTTGCACTGTTGTTAGACGTAAGATTGTTCATGTGTAGCGAGTGCATGCAAGATAGTTTCGCTGATTGATACTTCAGTTATCAATTCGCGAAACGATCCTATCTATAATATGTGTATCGTCTTTTAATGTTTTAGTATGTTATGACAAAGTTATCATGCAATGATTAGCGACACCAAGATTTGCAGCCACTAAAAAGTCGCAAAGAGGGAAAGGTATAAAATATGCAGTATGATGAACATTAATGCTCCAAGACGTAGTACCAACATGTGGAATCCAACAAGATATAGTCCTTGTGTTGTTTTTTAACTGTACACGTGTTGTCTTTGTGTGAAGCTGTGTTCTTATTATTAGTCACTGACAGCGGTATGGAGCCATCGTGATCGGGAATGCAAAGGTTGGGAATAAAGCTGAAGACATGCAGGGGGTGCTGTGTCATAGAGAGGATTCATGCATCAAGCAACACATGTGTAGCCTGTTTGTGTATTCGAAATGTGTTTGACGCGAGCGGAGCCAGCTAAAGGAAGAGCTCTGGGATAAGCCGTTGAACACTATGCCTAACTGCAACTTTTCTACAGTAAACATTTTGTATATAGCGTAAAACGGCTTCTTTTGTATGGGAAGTGTGGAAAGGACCGATTTGAGGGACGTTGCATCCCATATCACCAGACATAAAAATTTTATACCTTTCCGTGTCGAGCGAGGTAGGCCGTTCAAACTAAGTGGATCCAACTGAGGATATTCTGGAGAATTCGTAGTCACGTACGTTGTAACCGCTATTCCAGATACTTAAAAACGTCACCAATGTAATAGTTAGATTAAGTTGCAACTCGTTACAGCTAGGGAAGTTAGCGCCGGCGGGGAGCGGGCGGCGGATGAGACGCGCGCTCTTCGCCGTATGCGCTAGCGGCAGCGCGGACACGCAATGTGTACCAACTGTATTAACATACCACACGGACAGATATAGTAATATTAATTACACGACGAAAAACGTTCGAGCCAACAAGCTACTGCATGGACATCAGCCGGGGCGGCGGGCCCTACGCTACACCCGCGCGGCCCCAAGCGGCGTTACAGTGGGGCGTCACCTTGAAGCCGTCATACGTCCAGCTGCCTAATTTAAGCACACAGGTTTGCACGTCGTAAGGAAAGAACTCGACGTCGATCGAGCACGAAGACTTATAGACGGCGGGTGGCTGCCACACCACCATTCCGTTGTGGTAGACAGTAGCTTTGGTCATCAGAGTCACCTCGTAGTTTCCATCGGCGCTGTGGACAAACGGAAGTGGTCAGACGGAGGGAGCGGTGAGAGCGGCCCGCACAATTACCTTGAATCCGTCGTACGTCCAGCTACCGAACTTAAGAACGCATGTTTGCTCGTCGAAAGGAAAATATTCCACGTCTATTTCGCAGGAGGACTTGTAAATAGCGGGTGGTTTCCATTCGACCAGCCCTTGGTGATAGATGGTCGCCTTGGTCGCCAACGTTACCTCGAAGTTACCGTCGGCACTGCAATGTTAAGGCACATTTACAAGCCGGCTTTTGGCACCCCTATTAAAATGCCTTTTGATTGTTTTGTGTTCCCTGTAGTGCTGTTGCCTTATTTACTTGTGCATCCATGGTAATTGTTATTAATAAAATTTGCTGCCTATTAACGTCAAATTAATTAGAACATCCGAAAATGTACTATCTGTCAAAACTAGTAAAGTATATTATGATTACGCTCATCAAAAACAAAGAAAAACATTCAGAGATTAAAAAACGAAAAAAAGTGTCTTTACCTATAAACCATCAAAGATAACTTAAACTTTCAGAAGTTACACCAAAATATATTTATGTAAGTATAAATAAATGACTTGCAAGTTCAAATAACGCGATTCTGACCTAAGTTTTGGCTGTCATAAATTCAATTCACACTGTTTAATAAAGTTTTGTAAATTAATATATAGAAACAATTAGTAAACAAAGTTTGTTCCAAGAACATCGTTCGTCGAAGTGGCACGAAATGGAAGGGCCGAGCTAGTAATAAGGATCGGCCCGGTCAGGTCATTAATCAAAGTCCATCTCGGAATGACAGACGCTACTAATCGAGTGCCTTGGAAATAATACAAATTAGTTAGCTACGTGTATAACTAACTTAATATAACCAATTCTATAACTAACTTATTACAATAGATAAACAACGTCCATATATTTTCATTATAGTTCAACTCGCCAAATAAGAAAACATTCACTTTATCTCTCCGGTCTCTTTAAAAGTTCTAAATTGTACATCTAAGAATAAGTCCTTATTATTTGTCCATTTACTAAATTGAGACATACATAGGTATATGTTGATAAAGTTTTATTGAATTACTTTGCGTTTAATCTAATAATTATTTCAATTCAATGAAATTAAATCTTTAAAAATATTAATTTCAATCCATGAACTGTTTTAATTTTGTTTACAAAAATCTATATTATTGAAATTTCTGCGCTAAGAATATTGTAATGTTAAAAATTTAAATCTCACTTATAATTTATTTTAATAAAAAGTTTCGGTTTTCTGATATTCGCCGTTTTTATTAAGAATATTTCGCTGTTACACCATCCTTTATTTGTACCCGGAGAAATCTTTTTCTTCATTTCACACAAATACCTCCCATTCACAGTAATCAATTTCGTGTAAATACAAAAACATAAAATAGTCGATGGCGAACTCAGATAGACTAATCTTTTCAAGTTCTCCGTGTAGAAAAATTCACTTCTTTTGTTATCTTTCTTGAAAATTAATTTAAAGTTACTAATTTATCTATTTTTAGTGTAGTATTGAAATATAGACATTATTATTAGCTAAATATGTATAATAATAACACTATATTTTCTTATACATTTTGCTGTATTTATTAATATTACACCTATAAATTATATGCTTTAAACGTTTTATTAAAATCTTTACTTACCCAGTCTGTAGTCAGATTGTAAGATGTATTTCAATAGCAATATAAAATATTTGTTATCAAGACGCTGGATAGAAAAAGAGGACTTTTGCGATATCGGAAATTTATATTAAAGAAATATCACTAAGATATTGAGTTTAATCAATGAAGTTAAAAGGAAATTTAAATTTCAAATTTTTATATGTAATAAGATTTTGCTTTTGTGACATTAATACATATATATCTATAGTAAGTTGAATGTGTAGTGTGAGAGTAATAGTCCCTAGTATTTTCAATATTTTATGGATATATCCTATACAAAAATGCCGTATCCCAGAAATGACAAGGACTTATTAAAAGATAAGTCTTTTTTAATATCTCTTTTTAGCAGACATTAATTTCCTGGCAATAATTTTTTGCTCGACAAATATTTTCCTTACAAAGATAAGTTTATGTAAGTTAAATATATTTTTAAAATAAAGGATTTCAAATTGTCTTATACCTATAAAGAAAAGTAATATTCTCAATAAATTTTTGACATAAATTTTACAAAGACCTGTAGAAGTAGAACGATTTTAATATTTCGCTTTGTGATTAAAGTCCATCCTTTTTGCTTGAATTACCTGTAGTTAGCGGAAGAGCGTTAATAGTAATTTCGTTATACTAAAAGACAAAATTAATTAACTAAAAAATATTGAAAGGTTTTGAGAGCTTTGTGTTTTTATTATCATTTTTCTAATATGTCCTAAAACACCACAGATAAATATTTTGTGTAAAAGAAAAGGAAATGCATTAGGATATATCATTGTATCTTATATAAATAAGAATGATATTAATATACATGGTGTTTTAAAATAAAATATGTATACCTGAAACAAATTTTGATAAAGATATTTTAAACATGTTGACTCAATCCATGTTAAGAATCCATTTGTTGTATAAAATTTTGTAATAAAATTATATTAATAGTATTTCTCACTTGTTGTAAAGTACGATGTCTGGTCTCCATATATGATCGGAAGGTACATGCAGCATATGTACTCCACCGTACTCCCGCGGCTCCCAACGAAGCTTGTAGTCATACCACGACTGCTCCACCCATAGGTTCGTTGTCATAATTTGATTCTTCAAGTTCTAGGACAAAAGCTTTCTTAAAAATAAATCATTGTATATCTTAAACTATGTAGTTATTTCTCGCCAATTAATCCGTGTTAATTTCGGAATTACAAATATAATATGTATAATTAATCAGGCGTTATCTATTACGTTCTAGACTCCATAAATAATCATATATTAGAATTTATTAAGTTTTTTTTTTCCTTTTCAATCGAACAGTAATTAATGTCCCGTGTCCGTCTCCTTGTTCTAAGCTATCTCCCCGCTAATTTTCAACCATACCCCAACAACCGTTTTTGAGTAATAAATAAATAGTCTAAATAACACAACTTTCTTTTATATGTAAAGATAGATTGTTCCTCACGACAACTTAATATTATACTGTTGTTTTGTTATATCATTTTAGACGAGCATTGATAGGAAATAAAATGTTTTTTATGGAAAAATATGATACCGTCAGATGCAATTCCATCAAATCGACGTTCTTTTGAAATAAAATATTACAACATTGTACGTAGCTTTTATCTGTGTCAAGATGATATAAACAATATTGAAGGCGCTTAATCCGGGGAACAGAGGTCTTATTTGAATTTTGCGATTTACTGAACTGAAAAAGAATGCGGCTATCCTCCTCACTGCTTCTCTTTGAAATCATTTTCTTTCATGATTTTAATTACAATATTGTACTTTACTAACGGTTGTATTTGTTTTGTCTTTTTATGTATTTAAAGAAACAAAGGTTGAGTATTTTATATGCATTTTATCTTTTCATGAGAATGATTTTTCTTGATACCAATGTTACTCGTAAATTAGCTCAAAATTGTTTTAGAAATTATTAAATAAATAACATATTATGGATGACTAAAATTACCTCTTTTAAATATTGTTATAATAAACATTATTTATTTGTATTATTTTTTATTATGATTATTTTAGTTAAGTATTATTAAATGTAAAAAGTTGTGACCAATATTTTTAGTAGAGATTTAGAGATATTCTCATTCATTTGTATAAAAACTGCAGTGAAATTTCACGGAAGCTCGCGGAGTTCACATTAAAGGTTTCAAAGTTATGTCTAGAGGGCCAGACTATTCGTGCAACTAATCGATATTTATTCACTGTTAGGAGCCTGTAATAAAAACTAAACTCAATACATTTTGTAATAAAAAGGAAGAGAGTGGTAATAAAGTGGTCAATTGCTTCAGCAATTTCATGTATTATTTTCTATTCTAATCGACATTCAGTTCCTGTGCAGCAGTTGTGATCACGGAGAGATAAAAGTGATCATCTCATCTACATAAGAAGCTCATAGTTGAATTTAAATGAAGATTTAAATGTGCACTCTCGAAAATCTTCATACTTTTTTTTTAATGATTAAAGGAAAACCGTCTTTTGGATAAGAGATCTATAAAGATTATATCTCTACGAGTATACGCAACCACGAGTACATACATTTATATGTACAACTGTATAGCAAAAACAAAACATGAATGAGAAAATTCAGACCTTTTAATGATGATTTGTATAAGCCCGATACCGCAAGTCGTGTCAAGGAATATTGTTCCAGTAAAACACTGTGGGTCAACCCTAAAACGATCTCGCAAGTATTACAAGAGATAATTTGTAAGAATTTGTTTAAAAAGGAAATCTTTTGCATCCGTTTAGATAGTAATTCAGGAATGTTAGATATCTTACACATGTATGTATAGTATGAGAGCTTTGCATTTGTTGCAGGGTTGGCAAACTGAAAGCAAGTTGAAGGAATCTAATTAATTACAATCTTAATCTCACAATCAGCATGGAAAATTGTCTTTGAAGTATGTTCCCGAGGAGAGAATTATCGTATAATATGTAATGACGGCGAATTGATTAACTTGTCTCCATAGGATTGTCTTACAATAATGTACGTGGTATATACAATAGATAGTGTTAAATTAAATTCAAACATTTTTTTTTAAATTATAAATCCCGTATTAGAAAAAAGTGTTACAAAAATTTCTCATTTTTCTTTTTTCTCACGATGAACCCGGCACCCGCACGATGAATCCATGGAATGCTGAGAGATTTTATCTCATATGTAGTATACTAATTTCAATGGCGGATTTAAATTTTAAGTAAGTATGTACTAATACAAAAAAAATTACAAAAACAACTGATTTCATATCAATGTAGTTGTTACTATTTAATTTTTTTATAAGATTTATTAGATATTTTATTAAGAAATGTGAAGTAAGACAAAGATTTTTTAAAGAGCTAAATCTAATAAATTTTGAACCTTTATATAATTCCAGCAGACATTATTATTATGTGTTAGTAAATGGCAACATTGAAAGTATTACCGAAGCTTTTTAAGTATGCAGTAAGGACTACGTATTTGCGTTTAAAATTCCTGTTTTTGTTATGCGTGTTTGTTGGGTCCCACAACAATAGAATTAGGCTCGTTTTAAATGATTGTTTTGTTTAAAACGCTATACAATATAACTTAATGGGGCCTGTACATTTCTGTAATATATTAAAATTCGTTTAATATTCCAAAAATACTGGTTCAAGGTTTGTTGGTGAGCTTCGCTGTATTTTTTTTTACATTTTTTGTATTGTTTTCTTTATTTATCCGATAGAAATACGTTATTTAGTGTATAAAATCTAATTGATATTGATTTATTCTACTAATATATGTTTTTTATCTGACAAATAAATATATAAAGTCATTTTTAATTATGGTCATTTTCCTATTAAGGTGTAATTGAAGATATCAATTCACACAGGTTTAAATAATTGAAAATGTAAATAAGTACTATCAACGACCATTCTTAGTAAAAAAAACTACATTGTTTGCCAAAAACCTAAAGATTCATCAGATTTTATCCCTAAATCATTGGATACATTTGTATCATCACTTAAAGATTGAAATAGAATTCCTTTAACAACCTTCGAATATTCAGGGTATGTCAGTATTTCAATATGAAAAATAATAAATGAAGAAATAAAATATTCTAATAGTTTGAGTTTGATGTCACTTATTTAATACAATTACAAAATAAAGATTTTAATATATTTCAATAACAACATAAGCGTCTCTATTATATAAAATAAAGCAAATTATTTTAAATTAATCCCGTTAAATGAAAATCTTAAAAAAATATGTCAAAAAGTTTTAAAATATCATATTAATAATAAAAGTTTGGGTTCGCATTGGGACTGTTAAAGTTTAGTTTTGGAAATTCTGTAAAAAGTAAAAGGGACTCAAACTACGGTAACTCTGTACATATTATATTTTGTTAATTGTTCAACACTTGAATCACAAAATAACATTAAATAATAGTTTTGGTATTATTGTTTAACTTTTAATACATTTCATAAATTTTAACATGTTTTTTGTTATCAAAATGAGTATAAGGATTTTGCTAATTTTGAGTACAAGTAATACGACACATATTATATGTAGAATAAATGTTAAAAAATCTTTAGAAATTCATTGCAAGTATCAATAGAATTTGTATTGAGAAAAATATTCATTATTATTTATAAACGATCATATGTAGAATGTACAATAACACTTATTCAACGCGACTTATTCAATCTCTATTGTGGTGAAGCATTTATTGTTCTAATTTCATAAATAAGTAATAAAATGATACGAATTTAATATCTCTATGTCTGTTTTTCTTAAAATTAAAAAAATATATATTTTCAAAATTAACTTTTGTCATATCTATTCTTTTAAAGCTCTAAAGCACGAAAATCCCCAAGCATGACTTAGTATTTTTTTATGTTGTCAATAAAAAAAATATGTTTTTGAGGAATGTTCTACTTATTAAAAATAAGTAAGAATATTTAGTTTATATTATGAATGAGGTTGAAAATCTATCCTATAGTATAGAAACATGTGTATATACATGTATATTACATTCATTATTTAAAGAAAACTAATTGTCACCAGAACGGAATTTACTAACATATAATTTTTTTTATTGATATATATTATATTTATCTCTATTCATTTTTTTAATCCTCGCCTGGACAACTAAATAGTTTTATTTGTTAAGTCACTCTCTTAAAACTGTAAGATCTATCCAGCGTATTTTTGTATTATAAAAAATTATGTCAAAATCTCAATTTTACGGAAAAGTAGCGTTTAAAGACATTGATTTTATTAAGTTTCTATTAACAAAGATTGGTACATTTGTATAATAATGTTTTTAATCTTGATTTTTATAGTGTGTCTGAATTTTAAATGTGATAATTTTGTTATGTTTCATCACTACACTGAAAATGTTGGTGCTAATTATATATTATGATCTAAAGCACGTGCATAAATGCGTGAGAAGCTTATTGGAACGTGGCATCTGAACTAGATAGGTATTTACGATATAATTGAGCAAATAATTCAAGGAAAATCTAGATTATATTTATATAGTTTTCTGCCCGAGTTCTAAAGTTTAGGTATCTATTGATAAGAAAACGTGTAAAATAAGTAATATCTAATCAGCTATCAGTCCATATTTTTGATTTTTTACGTCTTATTTATTATTAGTTGCCAACCATCTTAAAAGTAGCAAGGAGTTGTCTAATACGATTGCAAAATTTTTATCTTACGCATGTATGTAGATTTTGAAGCGTTCGTTCATAAAGAGATTTTAATAATATTATTAGGAACACAAGAGGGTATTCCAAAAATCTTCAAAAATTTACTCGGATGACGAACACATTCCTTATGGAATTCCTAAAATTTTATTCCTATTTTTTTATTCTATTTTGGTATAAAAAATTAAGTAGATTATTTTAAATATTCATTTAAATTACGACAGGTCAGGTAAAATTCTTTTTACGTCTTTTTACATTCACCAAAATTTTTATTGGGTTTATGAGTATTTAATTATAGTTAGATCTCATTATTTAATTATTTCACTTCTAAACCTAGTGCATTGTTATTAATAAGAAACGAAATGCAAGGAGAAATTATTTATACTCGTAAATCTTATCTTAACCGTGTCCAATAACACTCTACTTGAATATGA